ACGGCTGGTCGACGCGGTTTAGGCGTTACGAAACAGTCAGTAGTTGTTGATCTTTCTTGTAGTTTAATACATGGATTTATCGCTCAAGCTAAGTTGAAAAAACGACTTATGTTCAATGTTCAGTTTTCCTCGTTACTCTTCCTGACATGCTCAATAAGCTGTCGAATGCAGCATTCCGATGTGTGAAGTGACGGCGTTTAGTTTAAACCTCTAAGTCTAGCTTGGTTTCGCTGTAAATCATTTCGTCGCAAGTGTTCAAAAGTATGAAGTAGCTTCTGCCGCATCCACTGGTCTTTCTAGCATCTGCCCCCTGAAATGTAGACTGCGCCGCTGAGCCCTGATTTTGCGCAGTTGAGAACTTTTCCACGGCCAGACTGGAAGCATTGGCTATGACCCATCCCTGGTTGGCAATGCCACCGGTCGCCGTATGTCGCAGTTGTTTGACCCACGGCTGGGTCCGGCCGGTCTGACCCCGCCTGTCTGGCCGCCAGTCCTGGCTGTCACGACCCGAATCCCGCGCTGGAATCACCAACGAAATCTGGGTATATTGTTCTCGACATGCTGATCACACGCAAACCACTTGCAATCGGTTTGCGAGATGTCTCCATTCCATCATATTAAATATGTGTAGTGGGCGAGAAAAAAATGCTGAGAGACCGTGTGCAGTGCAGTGGTAACCAGACTGCTCTGAATCCTCTCCGGAGATAGGTGCCGCTCCCTTCAGACGCACGCAAACTTGCAGCAGCAGCGGCAGCAGTGGCATCTGTCGCAAACAAACGAAACATGTGTCAGCTTTACCAGCATGCGTGTATGAATGCCGATCTTCACCGGATCATGCCGTATTGCGTTTGGCCCGACTTGGCACAAGCTGTGGGAATGTTCCGAGCTTGTGGTGGTATGCGCTAGCAGTGCCCTGTTGCTGCGATCGAAGCGGAGAGCTGGTCTTATTGGAAAAGTGTCGAGTTCAGGAATTCCAGCGGACGGGGGCGCCATCGATGTGCATTGTTTATCAGCATGGAGAGATGACGCAGCGAATGGCTTGGAGGCTCATTGCCCTCCCTTGCTAGGGCGCGTGCCACGCGACGGCTATCATGATAAGAACGGCCAGCTTGCCATTCAGGCCAAGCCATGGTCTTCCCCGATATCATGCGCCTATCAGAATCGTGCTGGAACGCAATTCAGAAGTGCGAGAGAGGGCGGGGGCGGCGCCTCGACGCGGTGTGGGCGCACAGCAGATAAGGTGACAATCTTTACAGCATGTGCGGAGGCCTATACCAACAGAACCGCCCGCCATGGCAATGGTCTGAACCTCAGCACTGCTGCGCGACCCGAAAATAGCGAGCCCTCCGAGCTGTGTCCGACACATACCATTCGATACGGCGCTTTATTGCGCTGATGTCGCTGTCGGTCCGTTGGGACGTCTGCCTCTCGTGAGCCCGACCGAAGGGCGCGCCTCCGCGTCAGGATGTCTGGCATTGCGAGCCCGACCGAGGGGCGCACATCCGCGTCAGGACGTCTGCCTCTCGTGAGCCTGACCGAGGGGCGCACATCCGCGTCAGGACGTCTGGCTCTCGCATGCCCCACTCAGTGGTGCGCCTCCTCGTCAGAACGTCTGGCTCTCGCGAGCCCGACTGAGGGGCGCCCATCCGCGACTTACGAGGCAGAGCCCTCGGCACTCCGCAGCACACTCCTCACGCGCCGTGTGACCCGGTCGGGTCGGGTCGGACCCTGTTTGTCCTGTTGCACTCCGAGTTCCGGGGACGGTGTCTAGACGCGATCAAACACATGAAAGGCCTGATTGATGGGCTGGATCGGTACAGCTTCCATGCGCTAGACGTTGCCGCTCTGGAAATCACGTCTGGCGGCGGCGATGCGAAACATCTTAGCCTCGGGATACTTCATGAAAGCTACTTGGCAGTCGCCAGCAAGCTACCATAGTAACCGCACCAAAAGCCAAACAATAGAACGAACGTAAGAAGCACTCATCCCCCGAACATTAATGGGCAACATATTGTTTCTGGGGCATCATCCGCGCGCCTGCCGTAAAGAAGAGGCCGGATATCACCACGGGAAACACGGAAGTGTCGAAACTGCGTCACCTCGTGAATGTAATGAATATTTGCTGACGTTCGCGTCCCCAATGATGTAAGGAATATCTGATGTAAGCACGTCAGCGGCCGCTTGATGACTGAATGGCTGTCCGGTGTAATTGCTTTAGCAGGGAAGAGCGGTCCTGATGAGCGTCGAGTGTTGGCTGCGGTGGCTGCTGCGGGGCGGGGTGACGACACTGCACCCGGAGGGGTGGCCCGGCCGTCGGGCTCTGGGGCGACACTCTCGCGGCACCCGGGTGGCGGCGCTACACCCAGAGGGGCCGGGCGAGCTCGGGGGCGGCACTCCCGCGGGGCTTGGGTGACGGCACTACGCCCGGAGGGGCCGGCCGGACCACCAGGGCGGCACTCCTGCGGGACCCGGGCGACGGCGCTGCACCCGGAGGGGCCGGCCAGGCTCTGGGGCGGCACTCCGCGGGACCCGGGCGACGGCGCTGCACCCGGAGGGGCCGGCCAGGCTCCGGGGCGGCACTCCGCGGGACCCGGGCGACGACGCTGCACCCGGAGGGGCCGGCCAGGCTCCGGGGCGGCACTCCTGCGGGACCCGGGCGACGGCGCTGCACCCGGAGGGGCCGGCCAGGCTCTGGGGCGGCACTCCGCGGGACCCGGGCGACGGCGCTGCACCCGGAGGGGCCGGCCAGGCTCCGGGGCGGCACTCCCTCCGCCAGCCGGCGGTCCGTTGTTTCCGATCTGGGAGGGCTCTGTGTCGGCCGCAGCCTCCGACTTCCGCCCTGACGCGGAGCCCTCTCAATATTGGTGACCATCCATCTGTGGGCACGTCCGATAGCGGATCCAGGGAGGCGAGGGGGAGGGGGACTGGTGGTCGTGGGGCCATGGGGCCACGGCCTCCCTCAAGATGGCCCAAGTCCTAAAAAAGACATATGTCCGGCGTTTGAAGTAGATCGAAGCAGCTGTTGCGAGAGGAAGTGAACACTTGTTGAGGTTAAAGGAGGCGAAATTCGATGAGCTTTTCAAATCAGGACACCTTTCGGACTCTGGCCTCCCCAAGCCAGTCTCCGCGCACCCCCCCCCCCCCCCGCGCTCCCCCGAAAGCGGCGTTCTGAATCCGCCGTGAAGTACGTCATGAAGCAAACCGCCGCGTGGCCCTAATGTTTGGTATTCCGGTGTGATCGTTGTTTGGGACTGTTATGCTGTTGACCGACGCTGCCGTGGTGATACACGTCTGAACCTCTCACACCGGTCGGCCCAGTAGGCGCGGCGAAGAGCGCTGCTAGGCTACCGTTTTCACATGGTGGAAGAGATCCAGCGCCTGTCGCACGTGGTGCTTGACGTGCGTAAAAGGGGAACGTTTGGGGAACGTTTCAAGCATGGCGAGTGCGCTGGAAGTGGTTTGTCGCTGTACAAGGTGATTCGTCTCAAAACGGGATGGCGGTCAAATTGAAATCAGGCATGCCTTCTGCTTCTTACAGGCGCAGTGATGGAACTTTTTGACCGCACCTCGCATACAAAGAAGCTTCTTAAAACACAAAGACGATCCAGGCTGTTGTCCCGTGGCGGACCCGCTCATCATCAGCTGGCCTCATGCCACGCCAGACTCTATGTAGGGTGTAGTTCTGTTATGGTTAGTTATGAAGAAGCCTCCTGCAGCCGACTGTGGCGAGTATGAGGGACGGGAGCGACCATGGTATGGTCGCAGCCCCGACACTCGCGCGTGCTCAATGTACTGTGCGCGAGTGTGGTGTTATGTTGGAGCGCCGAGTTGCCCATCGCGCTACATATCGGGTCGTTTGCGCTGAATGTGCGCCCTCATATGTATCAGAGTGATACAATGGAAGCCGGGATTGACAGCTCGAACTTGGGGAGCGGATTCGGAGTGCACAAACCCGCCAATATCGAAAAAGCAAGCATGCTGGTGGTTTGTCGCGGCCCCGGCTTATCTGTCCCAGGAAGAACATCGGGTGCCAGCTGCTCCGGCGTGACAAACGCACTCTCCCACGGTTTGTTGAAAACGCGCGAGTCGTAGGACCGCACCAACACCATCGCTTTTCTCTATCCGCTGTGCTGGTCGGTTTGGGCTCCTTGTGGCTTCTTTCTGTTGCCCCGGATAAAGTCCAGCGGCGGAGTCGACGTTCTGACGCGGCGGAGGAGGTCCAGCGCGAGTGGCAGGTGGAGCCTGACACATCCGATCGGACTTCTGACGCGGTGGAGGAGGTCCAGCGCGAGTGGCAGGTGGAGCCTGAAACGCCTGATCGGACTTCTGACGCGGTGGAGGAGGTCCAGCGCGAGTGGCAGGTGGAGCCTGACACGTCTGATCGGACTTCTGACGCGGTGGAGGAGGTCCAGCGCGAATGGCAGGTGGAGCCTGACACGTCTGATCGGACTCCCAGTGGGCATCCCAGCGTGGCGGGAGCGCTGGCAGCGATGCGTCGCTGCACAAGTGGATTTCCTTGAAGGGAGAGGTGTCCGAATGTAAATGGGGCGCGTGATTTGTTTTTGTTGGCGAAGTCTCGGAACTTTTTGATCGCACATCGTAAGACGCCGCAGGCGTTGTACGGTGTGTGCTCAAGCTGGGCAACAGCTGGCTGTGGTGTCCTGACTTTGGCAATGAACCCACGAAAGGCACATTTCTGCCTTGCTTTGTCCGGGTTAATTTGCATTCAGTTATGATTGCTATCTTAACTTGTCTGGGAGGGAGCTGGAACACAGCGACGCATGTTGACCAACTTGGACGCGAGGCTCAGCTTTTAATTCCAAGGTTACAGATACACACCCTCGCTCTGTCCGAGTCCCGCCAAGCGCGGCGTGTAACGCTGCCCGGCATTCGTCGCAGAACGTCCGCGGCCATAGCTGGCCGAGTGTCGCCGCCGCTCTGGCGCTGCCTCTCACGCCGTCGCTCCCCGGCCGCCCCTGACTCTGGCCTTCGCCTGCCAGGTGGACCTGCGACTGCTGGAGGCGCCGCCGTCGGCCGACCTGGTCGAGGTGTTCGGCGAGGTGCATGTGACCGACGGCCGGCCGTACGTGCTGGCCAAGGTGAGCGGTCGGGGGCGGGCGCAACTGGTGCTGGCCGCCGGCTGCGGCGCCGCCGGCCAATTGCGCTAATGACCCGGCGGGCGGCCGGCTAATCAGGCGCCGGCGGGCCGTGACGGTCCGCCGGGGCTAACCGCTGACCCGGCGGCGGTCAAGGTCGACTGTCCCCTTCGGTGACCGGGTCAAGTCACGGCCCACGCTCAGCTATCCTCAGAGGCGACATGTGGCGATGAATGCGCTGTTGAGGCTGCCGGCCGGCTGTCGGGCCGGTGCAGCGCCGCCGGCCCGGTGCCGCGGCGTCTCGACAGCGGCGGCGGGCGGCCGTGATGGAGCGGCCGGTCTCCGGCGTCGGCCGGCCGGCTCTGACTGGCGCCCGTCCGGCGCGCATCGCCGGACCGGCCCAGCCGGCCGCTGCCGGCAGGCGACCCGCTCCGACCCGGGCCAGAGAGCGGCGGGTGGTTTGCGCCCGGCTTCGGATCGATGCGAGGCGCGCGGGCTGGCGGCGCCGGCGTCTCCTGCTGCACACATCCTGTTGCGGTTGGCTGGACCACGTGCGCTCCCCGCCAGCGCGTCTCGGTGCGCCGCCGGCGCTCGCGCTGGGCGGCCGTCGGCACGACCGCGTTCCCGGCTGAAGTCGGGCGGGGCCGGCCACTTGCGCCGGGCCGTGCTCCCGCCGCGTCCTGCCACGCCACGGCGCGCCGCTCCGGTGTGAGTACGCGGCGGCCGGGCTGGCCCGTGTCGATCACCGGGCGTATCCGCCGGCCCCCCGCCGTGGAGCGGGCCGACATAAATCGAGCCGACGGGCGGCCGACGGAGCGCCGCTGACGAGTTCAACACCGCCCGCCGCGCCCGTGGATAACGACCCGGCGGGGCGAGCCAGCGGCTGACGTTTGCCAGGCAGTCGTGGAGCGCACCGTTTAATTTGTTCAATATGTCGCTCGCGCTTGGGAGCGGCGACCTATTGACTGGACGGTGGCAGTAGGTTTTGACCGAGAGGCGACAGCGTCGGAGATTGAAGTGAACCATTAGTCGACGAGCTTGCGAGTGGTAGCAGGTTACTTCTGGGCGATTTTTCCTTCCCTCTTGCTTATGAACAGGTGGCCGAAGTGCTCCCGCTTCGTCCTCCGCGACTTTGGGAGTCATGCGTTCATACTCATGTCAGAAAATGCCATTTACAATCGCTGGGTGAACAGATGTGAAAGTGAAACGAACGGATGTGGCTGAAATTCCTTCGGCTATGAAATGTTGTTTATTTGATTCAGGGTGCGCTGTCTTTGGCCTCGTCTTCTGGTGTTTCGCCGGTTTTTCCACCATTGACTGACGGTTGGCCGGCACATTTTGTGGCGTCTGGTACCATGCTGCTTGGGACGCTCGCGGCGTTAGCCGTGTTATTTCTCCGGTTTGCTGAGACATTGCTGTTTACCCTCTTTTATATGCAGATTAAAAAATATCTCTCTAAAGCGGGAGGTGAATGAGACCAGGCGCTTTTGGAAGCATTCATTTGCATGATAAAGATGTTGCTCTGGTTGCATTACATCTACATTGGCCCCATGTACATTTAAGGTCCCTAAATCCACAGTCTGTAAAGAAAAGCCTAGTGTTGTTTTCGTCTTCAAGCTTTATGTGCTTTGTCAGCTTCCAAATTTAATCATGATGGGCTTACCCCAGCTTGCCGGGATCTCCAGTCACTGTGTTGCTGGTCGTTTCCGCCGGCTGGTTGTTGTCCGCTGTCGTGGCTCTGGTGGGCGGCGGGCGCCGCCGGCTGCCAACGCCGCCGATGGTCGCCCGGCGACGCGTCAGAACTCCGCTTGGCGGGGGTGCACTGCCCGGCGGTCTGACCGTGACCTGTCACCGACCCCCCGGGGGCTGGCTCGGATGGGCGGCGACACCACCCGGCGACCGACCGTCAGACCCCCGCTGGCGGGGGGACCCCGGCGGTCTGACCGTGACCTGTCACCGACCCGCCGGGGCTGGCTCGGATGGGTGGTGACACCACCCGGCGACACCGTCAGAACCCCGCTTGGCGGGGTGCACTGCCCGCGTCTGACCGTGACCTGTCACTGACCCCCGGCTGGCTCATGGGTGGTGACACCACCCCGACACGTCAAACTCCGCTTGGCGGGGGTGCCTGCCCGGGCGACCGTGACCTGTCACCGACCCGCCGGGGCTGGCTCGGATGGGTGGTGACACCACCCGGCGGTCCGACCGTGACCTGTCACCGACCCGCCGGGGCTGACTCGGATGGGCGGCGACACCACCTGGCGGTCTGACCGTGACCTGTCACACCGGCCCGCCGGGGCTGGCTCGGATGGGCGGCGACAACCACCTGGCGTCTGACCGTGACCTGTCACCGACCCGCCGGGGCTGGCTCGGATGGGTGGTGACACCACCCGGCGACACGTCAGAACTCCGCTTGGCGGGGGTGCACTGCCCGGCGGTCTGACCGTGACCTGCCACTGACCCGCCGCCGGGCTGGATCAGGTGGGTGGTGACACCACCTGGCGGTCTGACCGTGACCTGTCACTGACCCGCCGGGGCTGGATCAGGTGGGTGGTGACACCACCCGGCGGTCTGACCGTGACCTGTCACCGACCCGCCGGGGCTGGCTCAGATGGGTGGTGACACCACCTGGCGGTCTGACTGTGACCTGTCACTGACCCGCCGGGGCTGGATCAGATGGGTGGTGACACCACCTGGCGGTCTGACCGTGACCTGCCACCGACCCGCCGGGGCTGGATCAGATGGGTGGTGACACCACCTGGCGGTCTGACCGTGACCTGTCACTAACCCGTGGGCCAGCGACAGTCACGTGATGGCACAAGCCGCTGGGTTCGTGTCATCACGTGGTGAGGGGTGATTTGTCGTGAACGGCTCGGATCCGCCCACAGCCTGACGATCGGTCCCGCCGTGTTTTGTTTCTTTTGTCGTGTATTTTGACCTTTCACATATTTTAGCTGAACGTGCCGCCACCTATACTTAGATTTATTACACTCTTTCAGCGCACGATATTCAGGATTGTGGTAGGTAGGGCGGGGAGCACCTATTGCCATTGTCATGGATTCGGACAGGTGTGAAAGATTAGCTTTTCTACCCGCCAAAAAACTAAGACGCTGTGATCTCCTGTCTCCTCAGGTTCTGTAAATGTCTCCGTCTTGGAGAAGACGTGCGATGGTGCAAGGAAGCCGTGGAATTGCGTGTGATCCGACGGCTGCTATGCAGTCGACGCCTGCAGCTCTAGTCGTGCTGATGCTCGCGTCTATATTCATCGTCTTCTGCCGCCGCGTTGTGCATGCCGCTTCGGTCAAAGGTCTCCTCTGATTCACCGGATTCCCCCTTCTTTGATTGATGCCAGTGTTTCTCTCTCCGTGCTCGTAGAAGAATTTCGTTGAATCAACCTGTGACATGCTATATCGCGCCTTTGCTTTTGTTCCCCACGAGTCCAGCGCCGAATTATCACGGAAGCCGCTCATCTCATTTTATTGGGTCGCCCGTCAGGGTTACAGTGCTAGCGGAGAGCGCGCCTTTACGGGCCGCTCTTGACCACTAGCCACGGGCGGCTGATCCCTATATTGTTGTGTATGATTGGTCGCCGAGTCCAATTAGTTGTGTGGTCTCAGCTGGGGGGGGGGGGGGGGGGGGGGGCGAGTTGTCCGTGGTCTGGCCGGTGCTGACAGCGGCAGCCGCCCGCCGCGGGGCGACTCGCCAGCAGCACGCCTCACTGAGCGGGCGTCAGCCGGCCAAGTGCAGTCCATCCGTCCGTCCACTGAGCGACCGGTCCGGGCCCCGGCGCGCGGGCGGATGCCGCGGGGCGACTCGCCAGCAGCACGCCTCGCTGAGCGGGACGCGACCCAACCAAGTACAGTCCATCCCCGTCCGTCCACTGATCGGTGGGTCCGGGCCCCGGCGCGCGGGCGGATGGCGCGTGGGGTGTCGAGCCGTCGGGCCGTCGCTCCGTCGAGCGCCGCCCGGCCCCGAGTCCCGATCGACCGTCGCCGCCGTTGAAGTGGCCGCTGCCGCTCGCGCCCCACTCCCCCGGGAGCCGCGCGCCGCCGGCCTGCCCGGCTAATGGGGGCCATGTGCGCCACGGCCGGCGCAGTTTTTGCGGCGGCCGCGGCGCGCGGGGCTATTCTCGGCGCGGCGATGACGCGGCTCGACCAGCTGGTCGGTCGCCGAGCCAGCTGGGCCGGCGCGCCCGGTCGCCGGCCGGCCCTGGAGCGGCGGCCGGTGCACAGGTGGTTCCGTGCCCGCCGCGCTGTTCGTTTCCGCCGGTGGCGGCGGTTTTGTCCTGTTAGGAGTGGCCGCACTCACGATCGATGGCCGGCCCGTGCCACCGCACTTGGCCGCTTAATGATGGTCTCGGGCGGGCCGCTGCCGTCTGCACGTGGGGTGTGAGGGGCCATTGGTACGCTGACCTTGGGTCAGCTCCTCAGGTAGGGGGTCAGGCCAGGTCACGAACTTTGAACAGCTGAAGTGAGCGGGACTCTAATCGTGGAGCCGATCGAGGCGCGAGGGTGTGTATGTGTGTCATTAGACCATTACGATGTACTCCGGTGCTGAGGCTATGTGGCGTTGCCTGCCTCTCACCCTGGCAGGAAGAGGAATCGGGCCCGTGCGTCGGGTTCCCCAAAACGTGCAGCTTGACCATGACACTAGCGGGTACCAGATCGAGGCGAGAGTAGTGGAGGTTGCGGCTCAAATGTGCTCATGACAGTGCGGGTCACATATGGACTGTCGCCTTGGTTCGAGGACTTCTAGGTATATTGTCATCGTTGCATCCGTTGTTGCATACCGTGTATCGAGGTGGTAGTGGCGCTGTTTCATCTCAAGGCGTCTTAAATTGTGTCTCTTTATCTGCCCTAATGGCCCGTTGTTTACACTGGATGTTTTGCGCTTTTTATTTTCTGCGAGAGGCTGAGAGCCGGCTCTGTTTGCGTCCGATGGTACGATTCAGTGGCAAATCGTTGATCACTGCCTCCCCACGTTTGCGAGACGTCTAGGAAGCCAGCGTGCCAAACCGGCTGCGTTAAACGGGGCTGCTGTCGCGCCCGCGCCAGATGACCCGATTTATGACGCTCTCGTCCCCTCCCGCGCCACTGCTCCGGGATGCCTGGGCCGCTGTGTGTCACGCGTGCCGGCTCGCCTGCTTTGCATGCGACACCGGCGCCTCGGCTGCGACGCCCCCTGATGGCCCGCGGGCCCGCTGTCTCATCTGCCCTCGCATGGCCGGACATATGTGCCGTCCGTCCGCCCAAACTCCGTGCTCGGGCGCGGCTTGCGGGCCCGCCGCTGATGGCCGAGTCGTGCTCCGGCGGCCGACATCAATCAGTGCCGCCCGCGTCCCGATATGACACGGACAGCGCGGCTGCGACGGATGGCCGGCGCCGACACCGCGGCGCCGCATCGATCCCGCCCGGCGAATACGACGCGGCGTCCGGCGGTTGCGGCAGGTGGGCGCTGCCCGCCCCCCGCCGCCAGACGCCGCGGCGCGGCCGGTGCGCGGCGCGCCACGTCGGGCCGATCGCCGGCGGCGGTGGCGCGAGTGGGCCCCCGGACGCGACTGTGCCGCCAAGCTCAGCGGCGGCTGGCAGCGCCGCTGAGCGGGCCCGGCGCGGCCGCTCGGCCAGCGCCGAGCCAGCCGGTTCTCGGCGGATTTCCCACCGGCGCGTGTCAATTTCGCGAATGATCCTGGACGCGTCTGTTCTTGGCGGGAATGAGCCGTGAAAGCTCAGAACGGTCTGTGGTTGGATCAGGGCCTATGTCAAGAATCTTCAGATCATGCAGATCCAGCCATTCTGCCAACTGTTCTCGAAGCGTATTTCTGCCCAGACGCTGAGACGAGAGTAGATATGCAGTCACGGGGGTGCTGTTCCGTTGGCACGATCAGCCACGCCCTTCCAGCGTGGGTGTTTTTGCCTCGCGAAATTCTCTGCTAGAGCATATTGAATAGCAGATTGGATGCGTTTAGGCTCGGTTCCTTGTTGGCCCCTTTCCTGCGGCAAATAACGACCACTGGCTATCCTGGTTTTGTGGACGTGCTGCCTTTTGCCCGAGTACGTCGAAAATCAAAGAACAAGTTGGCGCCAGGTGGCCCAGTCGTTGCAAACACCCTGAAATATAAGTGTGGATACTTGTAAATGTGTGTTTGCGATGATACCATTTGCGTGAAACTCCTTGCTTTTAAGAGCGCATACCTTTGGGCCTTTTTTTTGTTTTACTGGTTGACGAATTTAGCCAGCCAAATGTTCTGCAGTGTTCGCTTCACCGTGGTTTTGATAATCTTCAGAATGTCACATGAGACTGGCCCGTCCTTCGCAGCACTAATCGTTGTTGACCGAATCGCTAATCTATCGTGATTCAAGGAATCATCGCTTCTTGGTCTGCCCCGCTCAGTGCCGTCCGCATGACTCCGGTTTGAATGCGCCCGTTTGCCCGCCTCGGCCAGCACCGTCCGCCGAACGCTGCCATTGTCCGGACGCGGCTGGAGACGTGCTGCAGGTATTGAGAGGGCGATGAACCCTGCCTCCGTGGCCGCGATATTCGCCTGGCTTTTTGCCGGCTCCGTGTCTGACGTGGGCGGTGCGTCAGTTTTTCAAGTGACGCGAGCGGCGTGGACCCGGCGCTGTACCAGCGAGCCTCGGAGCAGCTGGGCCGGCTGTTCCCGCGCCTGCAGCGCTGAGCGTCGCCGGCCGCGCCATGGAGTGCCACGCCGAGACTACCGAGCCGGCGTTCCAGCCGGCGACGGCCGCCGCCGCCGGCCAGGCCGAGGCGCCCGTAGTCGAGCCTGATTTTGGGCCCGAGCACGGTGACGCCCAGTTGGCCGTGCGGCGCGCCGCCGAGCCGCGCGAGCTCGCCGCCGTGCGCGAGGAGTGTGCCGACGGCGTCCGGCTGGAGAAGAGTGCGGAGGGGGCCGAGGTGGAGCAGAGCGCGCCGGGCGCCGCACTGACGGAGAGTCCCGAAAGCATCGAACTGGAAGAGAGTGTGGAGGGTGCCGAAGTGGAAGAGAGTGCCGAGAGCTTCGAAAGTGGGGTGGAAGAAAGTGCACGGGGCGCCGAACGGGGGGAGAGTGCACCGGGCGCTGCTATGGTGGAGAGTCCCGAGAGCATCGAACTGGACAGTGCAGAAGGTGCCGAACTGGTGGAGAGTGCAGAGGGTACCGTACTAGTGGAGAGCGCAGAGGGCGACGAAGTGGCAGAGAGTTCCGGGAGCACCGAACTGGATGAGAGTGCAGAGGGTGTCGAGTTGGCGTCGGTGCGGGAGGACAGTGCAGGCGACACGGGCGAGTGTGAGACCGGTGCGGCGGACGGGTCACCGGACAGTAGGGAGGCGGCAGGTGCCGTGGACGGGGCGCAGTGCGCCGCGGCTGGTTGGTGCGCGCCAGTGGTCGAGGACGACGGCGGTCCGCCGGAGGTCTCCGTCGGTGGCGGAGCGGACGCTTTGGCGGAGCTGGGTCCGAGCGAGACACCGTGCTCTGACTCCGCCGAGCCGGCGGCCGCCCTGAAGGACGTGCTGGCGGGCGCGCGCGAAAACTGCGCGGTCACCGCCGCCGCGGACGCCCTGGCCGACCTCGCGCTCCGCCCGGGGATGAACTGTGTGGTGGAGCTGCCAGGGGGCGTCTCGACAGCCCCCGCGTCTCCCGTCACACCCAGCGACCTGGAAGACATCTCTGACTGGTTGCGGGACGAGTCGGCCGCCGCGGACCACGCGGACGACTCAGCGCGCGCCGCGGCACGCCTGGCGCTGGACTGCCGCGCGGCTGCCGCGGCCGCCGCGGCCGGTGTCCTGGCCGGCGGGGCGGCGGACTGCCGGCCGGAGGAGTCGCCGGCGCCGGCGGAAGGCGCCCTGTGCTCGCCGCTGGAGAAGTCGTCCTCGCTGCCGCTGATCGACGGTCCGCCAGAGCCGGAGATCGTGCGGCGCCGGCGCGTCTCGTTCCCGGAGAGCGACGTCTCGCTGGTCACGGGCTACATCGAGCCTCGCAACCCGCTCGGCGCCATGTACAACGCCAGCCCGGAGGTGATCTCGGCGGCGTACCGGCAGTCGTGCCACAAACACGGCTCGCAGCCGCTGCCGGCCGTGCTGCGTCAGATCGCCGCGCTGCCTGTCATCGGAGACCGGGTCGAAAGCTTCTCGCTGCGCGGCCTGCGCCTGGAGCGTGCACAGTGCGAGAGCCTCGAGGAGGTGCTCAAGAAGGTGCAGTTCAACCTAGTGGACGTCAGCGGCTGCGGCCTGGACGACGACTCGGCCGCCGCCATATTCGAGATGGTCGAGTTCTACGACTCGGCGCTGGCGGTCAGCTTCGGCGGCAACCGACTGGGCGTGCGCGGCTGGCAGGCGTGCTGTCGCATGATCAAGGCGAGCGCCTCGCTGGAGCGCCTGTCGGCCGAGGGCGTCGAGCTGTACGACCAGTCGGCGGCGGCGCTCGGCCGCAGTCTTCGGCTGTCGCCCAGCTTGCGCGTGCTGCACCTGGAGGGCTGCCGGCTGCACGGCCGGCCCATGGCGCTGCTCATCGCCGGCCTCAAGCAGAGCCCGGCGCTCAAGGAGCTGTACCTGGGCGAGAACGAGCTGGGCACCGGCGATGGCTCCATGCTGGGCAACATGCTCAAACTCAACTTGCGCCTGGACCTGGTCGACCTGCGCATCAACCACTTTGACAACGACAGCGTCAGCTTCCTGCTGGAGGCGCTGGCGCAGCAGCCGGCGTCGGCCAAGGGTGAGGGCCTGGCCTCGTTGAACCTCTGGTGCAACCGGTTCACGGTCAAGTCTGCCGGCTGCCTGGCGGCGCTGCTCGGACGCCACACAGCGCTGGAGACGCTCAACCTGGGCCGCAACGTGCTCGGCGACGAGACGCTGCGCGTGGTGAAGGAGGCGCTCATGGGTAACGCCAGCCTGCGGCGCCTCGGCCTGCAGGAGTGCCGGCTGGGCTGCGAGGGCGCCGTGGCGCTGGCCGAGATCCTGGCCGGCAACGCAGCGCTGCAGCGCGTCGACCTGCGCGGAAACGGCGTGCGCGTCGGCGGCTTGCTGGCGCTGACGCGCGCGCTCGAGCACAACACGCGCCTGCTGCAGCTCGACCTGGACCCGGCCGGCGACGAGCCTGAGCGGCTCATGCTGCACGCGCGCATCCGCGACTTGTGCGAGGCTAATCGACAGCGCAGCCAGCCGGAGGAGGAGGCGCCGCGCAGCGACACCATCCTGCGCCGACTGTCGGCCGCCTTCCGACGCGTCTCGCTCACCTGCGACGCTCCAGCGGCGGCGGCGGCGGCGGCAGCTGCCGCGGCGGCGTCGACGCCGGCGCCGGCGCCGCCGCCGGCCGAACCGGAAGCGACCGAGGAGCGGCGCCGACTGGTCAGTCCGAGTCCGTCGCCTACCTCCAGCCCGCTGCCCAGCCCATGCCGCAGCCGGTTCCGCGTGTTCAAGGTGGCGCCGCCGGCGGCCGGCTCGCCGCCGGTGTCGCCGGGGCTGCTGCAGCGGCCGGGCCGCTCCAGCTCCGACAGCGACGCTAGCAGCAGCCCCAGTCCCAGCCCGGTGCGCGTGGCCGCGCGCGGCTTCCGCGTCACGCCCGTCTCGGAGCCGGCGCGGCCCAGGTCGACGCAGTGAGCGGCACCCCAGCGCGGGCCGGCCGCGCCGACGGGTAGCCGCCACGCCCCCCTCACGGTCGGCAGCATAATATGGAGCGGTCGGCGCGACTGGTCTTCATGGAGACGGGCTGGGCGCCCGGCCTGCTGCCGCGGGAGTGTTGCCGACAACCCGCGCCGCAGCAACCGGACGGGACGCCGTGTGTTTTGAGCCTGAGCTGCGCGCGCTTGCCGGGCCGGCCGGAGCGCGTCGTGCCGCCTGAGTCGCTGATGTTGTGTGAGGCGCCTCGCCCTCTGCTACCTGGACACCTAGTACTGGCCAAAGAGTGGGCTGTTCTCCGCCGGGGGGCGGCGGCCGCCCTTTGTTAGAGTATGAGCTCCGTGTACCTGCCGTAGTGGCGCCCCGCGGCCGCCGCCGGGCTGCCCACATAGCCAAATCGTGGGATTACTTAACGGAGGATCGTCCCTGTACAAATCACAAAGGCGTGCGGTGGAGCGGCGCGATGTCTGTGATGATTTTATCGGCCCGTCGGTGAGTGTGCGATGCGCGCTGGGACGCGCCGTGGCGACGTCCCTGTTGTGTGACCTGAGTGTTGAGTTGTTTTAGTCAGCCGCCACGTGTACTGATATTTGACAGTACAAACAACGTAGATGAAATCGTAATATAATAAAGATCTCTCGTAATGAAGCAGTGGTCTGGCGTGGGAGGCCTCGCAAGGAGCAGCGATGACTGGTACTAGACGCCACTCGACCCGAACTGTACCACGTAGCCTCGGGCGGGTCAATCATCTGCGAAGGACGCTCCGAACTGAAGGTCTGTGACACTTAACGTGGACTGATGTTGATAATTCAGAATTTGAACCGCGCTTCGGCTGCTGTGGCCACTTCGCTCTGCGTTGATATGTCAACAAATAAGTGTCGTTATAAACTGACAGACTATGAGAGCGAAAGGAGCTAGGCAGCAGCGGCTGGCCTGTTCGGCCGACAGATGGCAGCCGTGCCGGCGGACGTCCGATCGCTACACCAAAGCTGACGTCAGCACATCCGCCGCGGGAGATCAGGCCGGTAATCTCATTGGCGCGCGTCAGCCGACAACTGCACATTAGCGTTGACGATTGGAATGCCCTGGGCACAAATTGTTTGCCGATCTTGTGACAGGCGCCGGATGCGGGTGATCAGTGTGCACCGCGCTCCCGACTCCGCTGAGCAGCGGTGTGTAGCGCTCAGATACAGGGATCCTCGCTGCGATGCAGGGATCCTTGCTGTGATACAGGGATCCTCGCTGCTACGCTCCAGGGATCCTCGCTGCTACGATACATGGATCCTCGCTGCTACGATACAGGGATCCTCGCTGCTACGATACAGGGATCCTCGCTGCTACGATATGGGGATACTCGCCACGGTACAGGGCTCCTCGCTGCTATGCAGGGATCCTCGCTGCGATGCATGGATCCTCGCTGCTACGATACAGTGATCCTCGCTGCGATATAGGGATCCTCGCCACGGTACAGGGATCCTTGCTGCGATACATGGATCCTCGCTGCTACGCTCCAGGGATCTTCGCTGCTACGATACAGGGATCCTCGCTGCTACGATATAGGGATCCTCGCCACGGTACAGGGGTCCTCGTTGCGATGTAGGGATCCTTGCTGCGATACATGTATCCTCGCTGCTACGCTCCAGGGATCCTCGCTGCTACGATATAGGGATCCTCGCCACGGTACAGGGATCCTCGCCGCGATGTAGGAATCCTTGCTGCGATACATGTATCCTCGCTGCTACGCTCCAGGGATCCTCGCTGCTACGATACAGGGATCCTCGCTGCTACGATATAGGGATCCTCGCCACGGTACAGGGATCCTTGCTGTGATACAGGGATCCTCGCTGCTACGATACAGGGATCCTCGCTGCGCTATAGGGATCCTCGCTTCGGTTCAGGGGTCCTTGCTATGATGCATGGATCCTTATGATACGGGGATCCCCACAACGACACAGGGATGGAATTAGGGACTCAAACGGAGGGGCGGCGAGCCCAGTCCTCAAAATTAAATAAATTGTTCAGTGCATTTGCGAGGATTATTACGCACATAGATAAGGCAAGTAGTAATACCCTTGTTCCTCGTGGGAAAAAAAAAACAGGAGAGTGGAGACGTAGATGCGTTAATATTTCGGCAACATGTCTGTATCGAAACGAATAGCAGAAGTAAATGTAATATAGCAATGTGTATAACAATAGTAAAATTTACTTCTGCTATTCGCTTCAATAAAGGCATATTGCTACAATATCGACACATATTCATCTCCATCCTCACGATTTTTCTACGAGGAATAAGGCTATGGCTACTGTCATATATAAACCCAACTTTCACCTCATAGTCACGCTTGTGACCCATAGTTGCATTTAAGATAGCAAAAGAAATAAAAGCAGCAACAAGCGAGTCACTAAATTACTAAATTAATGCTCGGTGCGCCCTCGTCCCAATTCCCCGCGGCCCTAGCACTCAGCCCACCCCAGCCATCAGAGTGGGCAGCTCAGTACCCGCCAAGGCGCGAGCTGCCCTGCCGTGCGGCTCATTCCCCCCCCCCCCCCCCTCTGGCGTGCTGTACCCGGCCGTGCGACTCTCCCCCCCCCCCCCCCTACTAGCGAACTCTGCCAAGCGTGACTCAAACTGCAGTCAACTCGGGCCGCGCGGAGACAGTGGGCCGCTCAGTCAGACGCGGTCGTCACGCCGCAGCTGCTGAGCGACAACAGCCAGGCGGCGCTGACGGCGCGGCGCCCGGCTTAGCCAGGTCGCTGACGGCGCGGCTCCCGGCTCAGACAGGGTGTGGCGGCAGGCTGGCCAAGCGTTCAGTCATGACCTGTGCCCAGCGGTGACCTTGACCCTGGCTCATGGGACTTGGCTCAGTCCTTCATTGGCGGAGCGCTCATCAGAAGCCGTCACTCATGACGTATGTAGCACGTCACACGCGAGCGGCTGTGTTCCAAAGCGTGTGCACTATCGCGGCGAAGCTACCTGTGGCGCCACGTAAACAGGAATGTGGAGACATTTAGCAATGAGGAACAGGCCTTAGAGCCCCGTTCTTCATAAGCCAATGGAACCCCATTCCTCACCTCAGGGCAAGCCCATTCCCCACGTTTCACGTGACGATCGGAAGCCCATTCCTTACTTGGCCTAAAGGCGAAGTAAGTGTGTTTGTTTGCAAGGTCGTCTGCGCTGACATAGCAAAGCTTTGAAACGGTCGATGAGTTGTTGGCCGTCTGGTATGTCCGGCAAACAGGCAGTTCTCGATCTCATTTGGAGAGTGTGATCGAAAGTGATGCATTTCGTTACATATAGTCTGTCAGTAGCTGTCATTCGAACACGATTCAAGCGCGCCATTTGTGTGCGCTATGCGACTTCAAGGGGTTCGATCAGCTGACTCTGCTTGTGCTCATATTCAGAACGACAGGAATTTCTCTTCGGCGTGTTCTACGACACCACCTCGGTGGGCGGACCTCGAGCCACAAGCCAATAAGGAGCAGGCCTATGATGTTTTGCCGTCCTCCCAGCGCCGGACATCATCGCTGTGTGACTGATTGGACGCAAATGACTACAGCGACCGCGCGCTCAATTTAGCACGAGCAGCGCCTCGCCCAGCCTGTCTCGGAGCGCAGCCCAGCAAAGGAAAGCGGCGGCGCCTGGACAACAGAGAGCAAAATCTGTATTTACAAAAGTCGCCTCCAAAGATGCGCCCTTCTCCCGACGTCAGCGCGCGCCCTACACGGCCGTCAAGATCTACAAGCCCTGCGCGAGCGGACCGGCGGCGGCGGGACAGCACACGGGACTATCACAAAACAGCCACGCTCAGAGCCCAGCGCCGCGGGGGCGGATAGCCTGGCGCCGACCTCCGCGCGCCAGGCCCGGCGGGGCGGACGGCCGCTGATCCCAGTCCAGGCCGCCCGAGTCGGCGCAGGGCCGCCGGCGGCCGCAGCCAGCACTCTGTCCGCCGGACGCGCGCTCACGCACACGATGAGACCACATGATTCACTGATGACTTCGATGAGTGTCCACTACTGGGAGACGCAGCTTCCGCGACACGACGTCGGCCCTCCGCCCACCGGCGGGTGCAGCCGCACCATATGTACACGATACAGACGTACAGTATGGCATAGTAGACGTAGTACCGGCCGGCGAGAGCGCTCGCTCCCGGTCCCAGCTAAGACGCACCCAGCAGCCTGTTCTCCGCCCATCAAGTGTATCCACCGCGATAAAATGCTGAAAATAAATCACAACGCATTCCTAAAGTTTATAACGAACCGATGTCTAGGATGGCGGTGCTGGTGCATAGAAAACCGGTACACTTTCTCGACCGCGAGTCACGTTCACCAATGCGCCAGCCACGGCACTGCACACCAACGGGCGCACACATTCATATAAAACTATGATTCCCCGCGCGCAGAACGGTCGCCACGCGCCCCACGCTTAAAACCGCCGCGTCGGCCGGCACGCCTCGGGCGCCGTACCACGCCGTCGTGACCGCGGTCGGCGCCGCTCTAGGCGTCCATCCTGGCCAGCGCGGCCTCGGCGGTCTCAGCGGCGTCGGCCGGCGCGCCGGGCCGCGGCGCCGGCGGCATCGCCTCGTCCCAGGCGTCGGCCGGGTCGGGCGCCGTCCGGCCGGCCGGCGGCGCGTCCGGGCTGGCCGGGCTTTCCGATACCGGCGGCGGCGGCGGCAGCTCGGAGTCCGACTCCTCCAACGTCAGCACCAGCTCGCCCTGCTCCGCGGCCTCAGCCGGCGGCGGGCAGGGCGTGCCGTCCTCCGGGGCGGGCGGCGACGCCGGCCGGCCGGCCTGCTCCGCGGCGCCGTCGTTCCGCTCCGCCCCGGCACCGCACGCCTCCGCGTCGCCCGGCGCGTCCGGAGCGCCGGCCTGCGGCTCGGACCGCGCGGCAGACGCGGCAGACGCGTCTGCGTCCAGCTCCACTCCGGACGAGGCCGCCTCGTGCGTCGCCACGCTCACCTCTTGGCCGTAGTGCGCCGACGACGAGCCGACCTCCTGGTCGTGCTGCATGTCCGCCTCGCTGGCCTGCTGCAGGTCGGACGTGATCACCTCCTCGCTGTGCTGCATCTCAGGCGCATTGACCTCCTGACACTGCTGCATGCCGTGCTCGCTGACGTCTTGGCGCAGGTCGGACTCGATGAGAACACGGTGCATGTCGGATTCACGAACAACGTGATGCATGTGAGACTCCATGACGTGGTGCATGTCGGACTCACTGACATCGTGGGCCATGTCTGATTCACTGACATCATGACGCATGCCGGGTCCACTGACGTCTTGACCCTGCTGCATGTCAGGCACGCTGACGTCCTGACCATGCTGCATATCAGAAACACTGACATCCTGACCTTGTTGCAGGTCCGCTGCACTGACATCCTGGTCCTGTTGCATGCCCGCTGCACTCATATCCTGGTCCTGCTGCAGGTCGGATACACTGACATCCTGGCTCTGTTGTATGCCAGATACACCGATATCCTGGCCATGCTGCACGTCGGTCATTCTAACATCCTGGCCCTGTTGCGTGTCGGACACAATCATTTCCTGGCCCTGTTGCGTGTCAGACACAATCATTTCCTGGCCCTGGTGCGTTTCAGACACAATCATTTCCTGGCTCTGGTGCGTATCAGACACAATCATATCCTGGCCCTGATGCGTATCAGTCACAATCATTTCCTGACCATGGGGCATACCAGATCCACTGCCTTCGTGGCGATGCTGCATTTCTGATACGTCCACTCCCTGCCCATGATGTAAGTCCGAGACAATGACGTTCTGAGCGTGTTGCATGTCAGACATGTTCTGCTCATGTTGCATCTCTGACGCACTCGCTTCCTGACGCTGACCCACGCCCGCCAGCCGCACTTCCTGGCCATGCGGCATGTCCGACACGATGACCTCCTGGCCTTGGTGCACCTCGTACATGGTGACCTGGTCCTGCGGCATCTCGGTGACGATCACCTCCTGGCCGGGCTGCAGGCCCGCCATGCTCACCTGGCGGCCGTCGTGCATGCCCGACACGATCACGTGACCGTGCGCCATGTCCGATATGGTGATCTGGCCGTGCTGCAGGTCGGCCACGCTCACCCGCTGGCCGTACTGTAGGCCGGCGGCGGCCATGCCGTGGCCGGGCGACGGCGCGGCGCACATGCCGGGCACCACCGTCTGGCCGTGGCCGGGCTGGTGCGGCAGGTCGGGCAGGATGGCGGCCGGCTCGTGCGGCGCCGCCTCCAGGTCGGACACGGTGATCTGGGAGCTGGACACGCTCATCTGCGCCGACGAGACGAGCCCGGACGCCGCCCGGCGGCCGCGCGCCTCCGGCCAGAGGCGCGGCCCGCGCGCCACCACCGCCGGCGCCGGCGCCGCCGGCGGCGTCTGCAGCTGCGGCACCGACACCAAGTTGAGCGCGATCTGCGGCGCGGTGGTGCGCGGCAAGTCGATGCTCTCAGTGGAGCGCAGCGCCAGCGCCGGCGGCCGCGGCGCCAGCGCCGCCGCCGGCGCCTGCACATCGGGCAGCACCGACTCGCCGTCGGAGGCGCCCGGGCCGCCCGGCTCGCCGGCGGCCGGCCGCGGCTGCTCCACCTGGATGGTGACCGTGTCCTGGCCGTGCGGCCCGCCGCCGCTGCTCACCACCACCGGCACCGTGTACTGCGTCACCTCCACCACGGCGCCGCCGGAGACGGCCGGGCCGCCGTCGGCCGCCGGCCGCAGCGCGATGTACGAGATCATGCCGTTCTCGTCCTCGACGGGCACAATGCCGTCCGGCAGCTGCATGTACTCGCCGTCCACCGTCAGGCTGAGCGAGGCGGCTACGCTGTTGGCCACGGCCGACATGGACTCGGCTTCGGAGCTGGGGTCGAGCGGCGCGGCGGCGCCCGGCGGCGGGTCGCTGGCGGCCGCCGCCTCCTGCTTCACGGACGCCGGCGACGGCGGCGGCGGCGGCGCCGGTGTGGCGCGCCGCAACTCCGACGACAGCTTGTGGACGGAGCGCATGTGGCCCTTGAGGTTATAGCTGCGCGAGAACGACATGCCGCAGAACTCGCACTTCCACTCGAGCTTGCGCTTGGGGTCGGGCGCTTGACGGCACGCATTGCCGCGCATGTGGCCCTCCAGCAGGCTGAGGTTGTTGAAGAGCACACCGCAGTCCTTGCACTTGTACTCCTTGGTGACCTTGTGACGCCGCTGCCGGTGCTGCGCCAGCTCCGAGTCGCTGATGGCCTCGAAGTCGCACCGGTCGCACTTGGGGAAGGTGATGAAGCGCGGCGGCTGAATGCCGTGCTTGATGTACTGGTGGTACATCAGCTGCAGCTTCTTGGGCGCCGAGAAGCCGCACAGCTGGCACGCGCCGAGCCCGCTCACGCCGCGCGTGTCGTGCACGTCGCGCAGGTGCGTGAAGTAGTCGTCGACGGCGGCGAACTCGATCGGGTCGCCAGCCTGCACGCACGCCGTGCACGACAGCGTGTTGAGGTCGATGGCGGCCGCGTCTCTGTGCTCGTCCTGGAAGTGCTTGGCCATCTGGTCCGCCCACCAGAAGTCCACCTGCTTGCCGGCGCGCGCGCAGAGCGAGCAGGTGAGCGGCGACTCCAGCGTGTCGGCCGGCGACGGCTGCTGCTTCACCATCACGTACTCGCTGCGGCCGGGCGAGCCCGAACCCACCTGGGTCACCAGACGCACCTGCCGGCCAGAGCAGAGGTCAAGTCTGGGGAGCGGCGTCCATCGCGGTACCGGTGATGGCCGCACGCGAGCCGCGACGGTTGTCTAATTCACGCTGATAAAGCATAGGATGTCGCATGCAGTGTACCGTCCTCGGACATGTAATCACATCACTTCCAAAATCAGCACCTCGCCGACTACATCTGGCTGGAAAAAACGTCAGCTCTAAATATTTTACAAACCCGCTGATGCAATCGTTGATCCAGAACAGCGCACGAGTAAGACAAACGCCAATACAGTAAAGTCAAGAACCGAAGGGCGAAATCTACACAGGCCCACCCTGCCCAGGTAGGGGAATGGAGCAGCAGAGAGAGGGGAAGGGAGGGGCGGTCGGGCGGGCGCCAGGCGGCGGACTGACCTTGATGTTCTGTCCGCCGCGCAGCACTTCTGGGTGCTGTTTCAGCAGCTGGCTGACCAGCTCGGACGTGTCGCCCATGTCCTGCACGGTCAGGGTCAGCTGCGGACTCTCGGAGAACTGCACCCGCTTCTTGGCGCTGGCGCCGCCGGCACCGCCCGGCGTCGGCTCCTGCTTTAGGATCGGCCGCGGCGTGCTGGGCGTGCTCGGCGTGGCCAGCGCGGCCGGCGCGGCCGGCGCGCTTGCCACAGCCGGCGGCACCTCCGGGTCGGGCGGGTCCTCCTCCGTGGCGGCGGCGGCCGGGGCGGGCGGCTCGGCTCCGGTCGTCACTGGCTCCGCATCCTCCTCGTGCCAGTCGGCCTCCATGACCGGGTCGTCGGCGTCCACGTCGCCGCCGCCGCCGCCGGCCTCTTCGTCGAGCAGCTGCGCGCGCCGCCGCTGCTCCTCGTAGTACTCGCGCAGCACGTGCACGTCATGGCCGGCGTCGGCCGCCTCCAGCCGGGCGCGCTTCTCGCCGCCGTTCTCCTGTGGCGCGGCCCGCTTCACCGGCGTCTGCCGCAGCGTCTCGAACAGCGCTTCGCGGTCGGCCGGCCGGGGCGGCGGAGGCGGCGCGGCGGCGGGCGCGGCCGGGGCGGCGGTGGCACTCGCCGCCGCCGCCGCCGCCGCCGGCTGGTGGCTGCTCGAGTCGAGCACCGGTAGCCGCGAGTGCAGCTCCAGCTCGTCCGTGTCGGGGAACTCGAACCGCGACGGGCGCGCCTCCTCCGGCGGCTCGGCGGCGCGCACGATGCTGCGGGGCACGCGCGGGACGGGTCAGCGGAGGTCGGCATGGCTGTATCGCTGACGTCAGCACTGGTGATGACAAACTAGCCGCGTCGCGCGATGGATGAACTCTGGCGAACAGACAACGCGGCCCTCACCCGTACCAGTCCGCCAAGGGTTCTTGTTCTCAAACTACTTGTTCATATAGTACGTTGTGCATACGAAAACTCCTCATGAAGTAGTCATTTCAATCGTCTGAAGAGGAGAAGCATCTTACAGGGTGACATATTTCAACTATTAAACTTGAGTAGTCCAGTCTGACCTGTTGGTCAATCTGCGCAGCAACATTCACGGTAGGGATGGCAACAACATGTACGCTGCAAGTTTGTGCACTGGCTGCGAACACACATGGCTGTCATGCGTGATTAACACTCACCTGCGTTTGGCAGCCAGCTGCGAATTGGTGGGCTGATACACGGAGTTCCTCTGTTGCTGTGGCCTAAAGTGCACACGGACCCCGTTATTCAAGAGAACGCATATGTGAACATCGAGGAACGCGGCCCGAGGCATGCGACAAGAGCGACTACCAACTCTGGCCTCGGTACGCATCTTGCTGTGTTCCTCCGCTACAGGGGTCAGGCCGAGACTTTCTAGTAGAAGCCGATTGAACGATACCGCCGGCGCCCTTCCGTCGCAGGTTGGGCAAAAGCTCGCGCTTAGAAAGTATAAGTGGACCAGCATCACGTCATCGGATTCGTCTTCAGCGGCCCCTCCCCTCCCACCACTGAGCACATTCCCACAGAAGCAGCTGTCTAACCGCCGGTACCCAGGGCCGGCGGTTAGACAGCTGCTGCTGTCTAACCGACGGTTCTTCCCTGCCCTAGCGCGGCGCGCGCGCTCGCGATCAGCTGACCTGGCGGGGCGGCCGACGGCGGCGCGGCCAGGCGAGCCGACCTCGCGCGGGCGCGCCCAGTCGGCGCCGGCTGTCGCCTCGGCGCTGCTCATCTGCGCCTCCAGCAGGCGGATCAGGATCTGCAGCTTCAGCAGCTTGGCCGTGTTGTAAAGCATGTCGACGCTGAACGGCGCCTCCAGCCGGCCTGTGTACACAAACCTGGCCGAGAGAGGACGCAGCTGAGTTTTGGGGCCGCGGCACACTGGGACAGCTGGGCCACCGATGGTTTCTGTTCGGGTGGGAGCAGAATGGGCCAAACCCATCACCAAACCCAGCAACATGCCTGTAAGGCCAAGGTCAACCCAAGCATTCAGCAAAACACAAGATCAAACACTGCCTGGAAGTGTACATCAGTTGTTATGACAGGACGAAAGACAACAGTACATGTATGCAACAGAAGATGTTCAAGCAAAGAGCCTGTCCTTCAATCGCTTGCTAACAACTGACATAAGAAAACTCACTAAATGATTTGATAGACATTTACAGCTGCCGAAAGCATCATCGAAAAATTCGTGGGTGAACGATTAGGATGGAAAACGCCTCCATCAAAATGTAGGGCTCCCGAGACAACTCCTATCTCACACCTGTCCTGGTCTTTCACAGGGTCTTTGGCTTAGTTTGTGTCTCTGATGTAAATCCTGATTAACCGCGACTAGACGCGCAGAAATGCGCACGCACACCTCTTAGCCACTGCGCAACTGGGGAACCAGAGTTATGGGGTTCGATTCTCCGCAGCGCCCGCCCTTCCTGCCGCAGTGAGAGGCAGGCAGCGCTATATAGCCTCAGCAGCTGGGTGCGTGTAAGGCCTTAGTTAGCAAATGACACACTATGGCGGCAAGCAGTTCGACGACTGGATTGAATTCCATTCATCAACACCTCCACTCTGACTCCAAATACGCCTGTCCTGCCAAAGCCACAGCATCACAGTTTCGCTATCGCGGAACTATTCCTTAGAGACACTGGCTGGCGTCACGTCTACAGTTCTGGCAGCTCGCTCGCACACGGCACACACGTACTTGAGGATGATGCCCATGGCCGTGGAGCTGATCTGTGGCGGCATCTTCAATATCTTGTGGCCGCTCGTCTTGCCCTTCAGCAGGTTCGTGAAGAACGGCGTGCATGCATGCAGGACGAGGCTGTGCGCCTGCAGAACCAGCCAGCATCAGGCAAGCAGGCCAGTCACAGTGCCCGAACACACGTGGGAATCAGCAGTAGTAAGACAGAGACTGAGCACTCAGTGTGAAAATGGGAACAGGAGCACGCTTCTTTGCCCACAGTGTGCACACAATCTAAGCCCATCTAATGTAGCTGTGCCTGGAAGGGTGCTTAGGTCTCACCTTAGCCCGAATTACAACAGAATATGGGGAAAAAAGCACATGCTGAAACAATGAAACTTCACCACACACAAGTCAGCGTCAGTGCAAAAGGCACGGGCTATCATCGCACCGGACGTCACCTTTCCTGACGTAATATGTCGCCTACACATCACTGCAAACCCCACCCCGAATCCAACATGGGCTCACACACCAATCCTATCTAGAACGCAAAACGAGGGGCGCCACACGAGGAGTACCCCGCGACACCCGTGGCCGCGTCTCTCCCGGCCCGCCCCACCTCGGCGCGCGCTCACCTTCAGGTCCGTGTGCGGGAAGCGCAGCGTGAGGTCACAGTGCTCCTGCTTGTCGTACAGCGCCTCGATCCGCTGCGCCAAGAAGTTGCCCCAGTTGTCGACGCGGATCGGCTTGCTGGCAACGCCGGACACGACGCGCACGGCCGGCGCCGCGTCCGTCGCCGAGGCCATCGCTGCAGCCCGCCGCCAGCCCGGCCCGCGCAGGCCGCAAGCCGCTACCAGCCCGGAGCCGCGCGGGCCGCCGCTACCAGACCCGGAGCCGCGCAGGCCGCCGCTACCAGCCCAGAGCCGCGTAGGCCGTCGCCGCTACCAGCCCGGAGCCACGCAGGCCGCCGCTACCAGCCCGGAGCCGCGCAGGGCCGTCGCTACCAGCCCGGAGCCGCGCAGGCCGTCGCCGCTACCAGCCCGGAGCCACGCAGGCCGCCGCAAACCAGCCCGGAGCCGCGCAGGCCGCCGCCGCTACCAAGCCCGGAGCCACGCAGGCCGCCGCCGCTACCAGCCCGGAGCCGCGCAAGCCGCCGCCCGCTACCAGCCGGAGCACGCAGGCCGCTGCTCGCGCCTGCAGCACCACCACCCATGTCAGCTACTGCTGGACACATGTGCACAAGTCGCGACAAGTTGCTTGTAACCACTGGGAATGTCAGTTAGGCTTGTGGGCTATTTGGCTCAATCATTACAGTTTCAGCATGCTGGACAGCAAATAAATGTTCTGTCTATGGTAACATGAGTGACAGAGGAGAGCTGGATATAGTGAAATGTTAAATACTAAATGCCACAGCTTAATGGGCAGTGCTCCTACAGCTGTGGTTCTGTGAAAGGTCAGTTATGTCAGCACTAAGACATGCACTCCACTGAAAAATCCATGCTGTTGGAAACCAAGTCACAACAAAGGTTTATGCCAGCCAGTCCTAATCAACAGCTCAAGCATTCAAGATGTATGCACAATAACAATCCAAAATCAGCATAATTCTTTGGATGATAATTGCACTAGAGTGGAAAATGGCTTTATAACTGTTAACAAAACCTTTCACCCAGAGTACTCTTCTCAGCGAAATAAACTAAATTAATATGGATACAAAGGTCAGCAAATGACCATAATACACAAAGCTTATGTCTCAAAAGGAAAAGTTACATTAAAATTAGAACACGGGATGGCAAGTCCCATATCAAGTTCAAGGTTAAGTTGGTAAGTTGCAGTTGTGCTGATTTTGCTAGATTTTCAGTGTAACTTCATCAATTTCCAGAATGCCCAAGTGAGTCAAATGACAGCCAAATAGTTTCTCACACTAGCATTATCCAATATCACATGCAATGTGTTTGCCATATCATAATACTGATCAGGAGAGCAGTTCAATTATGTTAAACAGATACCTGACAGGTTGTGATGCCTGTATCATGCTTCACTAACCACACCAACGCATGTCTGTTCAGTGGTGTGTAATAATGTGTGATGCTTTAGTCTACAGAAGCTGCAGAGAAAATATCTAGGATATAGTACAGCTGATGCAAGCCTCAGCTATATGGAAACCATAAGCCTGGTACTGATGCAGTTTGCTTCTACCATCCACTGTGATTCTCAATTCTCACAATGTTTTCAGTGCTTACCACATCCTGCACACCATGTGGCCTAATTTTTCCAAAATACTGTTATTATTCCTTACAATGTTTTCCACTCTGAATGTGCCCTATACACCTTAGCCAATTTTTCAAAATGCTGCCTACAATATATTGGCAATTGCACATGCTCCCTGCAGTGGGCAGACACCTAATTTCTTACTCAACAAGGATCAAGGGACAATGTTGCAGCCTTACAAACTTACTTACAAAAAACTTACAAAAAAGCATGAAGCAAATAAGCTTCAGAACTGTTGGTTCTGTATTTAGGGGGATTGTCCTAGCTCTTTTCCAGTTCTGGATTCCCTAACCTGCATTGCTAGATCAAACAATTTGGAAACCTGCCCTTTCTTAGTATTCATAGTGCAGTGAACATCACATTCACATATTGTATCATATATTATGCTTATAAATATCTATTCACACTAAAAAGTCAATGCAGTGATGTCATCTGTCGATCATCTGTTTGCTTTATTGATGATAGCCCCAACCTGGGATACCTCAGCTTTTCCTTTGTACAGAAGGTGCTTATACACAAAATGTATCATTGCCATGGCTGCCAGTATTATGATGTCTTACAAATAGCTTAGGTTAGAAAGAGTTAGAGCCACTGATGTTCAGTCATGTTCACAATTAGGCATATTATGGCCATAACTCCTCTCAACACACAAAATCAGATTACCGGGCATACAAACTGTAATAAAATGGTAATGACTGCAAAATGATGCAATAAACAAGGCATTTATGGGAAAAAAGGGCGGAATTTCAGACTCAGGTAGGTGAACCATTGATGCAAATGCTGGCAAATCATCGCTTTATTACAAGAGCACATTACCATTCATGCATCATGTGATGCATGAATGGACTAGTCTGCCTGGTCTGTTGCAAAATATGATGAACACAATTGGACCACATTTAGGCAAATAAAACCATTCACAACCACATTCTGGCAGACAAATGCATCACAGTATGACACAACATACATTAATACATACATTGATTAAATGTGTGAAGTTGTGACCAAACCTTGGGCACCCTACACCTTCCAAAATACGAGTTACAAAAATGGACGGAGGCGGCGATCATTACGCAGATTCCCACACAGCCGAGGCAAATGTACGCACCACAGCACCAACACCAAATAAATCAAGGGTAAAGAAAAAACCTGTGCTTCCTTCATCCGTCAACTTCCTACTTGGCTTCCAGCTCACCCCTTCGTCACTTCAAGCTTGTCCCAGCCCCACCGCAACACGGCGGGCCGGCCGCTAACACAAACCAGGGGCACGAGCGAGCAACTTGCAAGCGCTAGTAGTGCCTCCAAATATTAAATTGTAATTTTAAGAAATACAGATTGCACGGCGTGAGCTGGCACTAAGAACCAAAAAAAACTCAAACAATTTTTATGTATTCCAGGGAGGGTTATTCTTGCATTTCAATGTGTATCATATTATCTCCTAAGAAACACTTGATTAGAGAAATACGGCAATGTCAAGTATGATCAAGTACAACAAAAATTCTGCAAAACAAATTATGAAATAAGTCAAAGAAACTTGGAAATGTCTAGCTTTGAATGTTTTTGGTAAGCGATTTTTTACAACAGAAGGAGCACATGTTTGCATGATGGACAATACGCATGCAACAAGAGGAAAGTACCAGCAATCTTGTGCACAAGTACACACTTGCCCATACTTTGTATTCAAGTCAAGCAACAGTGGTGACCAAATATTGCGCATAATTTGTCTTATTATGTTTTATTGAAGCATTGCATCGGAAATGCGTTGGGGCAAATACTAGGTGGTCACTGAGTGGCGTGACTGGCGAGTGATCTGAAGGACATGGCTGTTGCGTTATTTTATTGATGTTATTGTAAGGTTTGCGGCCCTGCACCAGCGAAGCCTCTGAGCTGGGTTTAAATATGCGATATCTGCTCGACAAGAGACCCTGTTTCAAGAATCGGAGCAATTCGTCTTACAAAGAACGGTGAGCCGTAGGAGACGGTTGTGTTTGCCTCTCTAAATCCCGATAAGTGTAAGGTAAGGTTAGGTTAGGTAAGGCACTAAAAGTGTTCAAGATATCTGATGTGGAACCATTTGATTACCACTAGCTTTAAATACTGAATCAATGTTTGCAATTTTTATTGTGTGTTGTCCCATGAAAGTGGACATCTGATTTTACCCAGTATTATTGCTTGATTGTGGGTCATTGTTTAAGCTTGAAAAGTTGCAGAAATGCTGGATTTCTGAAGATATGATTGTTGTTGTCTCCACAATACCTGTCATTTTGTTGCACTGTGTAAGTTAACTCTGCCATCAGAACAGTTCACTGAAGCCACATCATAATGCCAGTGCCTTCTTGGTGAGGCTGTTTAAAGTTGCAGCAGACTTATTTGCTTTGTATTTTGTGTGTCTTCAGCCTAAAGATCATGTTTGTGATAAAGGCATAAATTTCATACACTGATAGCTTGTTTGAGGGTTTACTCACCCTATCTGCAAGTGAATGGGCCATCCTACATGTCATTCTGTAAAAATATATCCACTATACTGGACCTTACTTGAAATCATTGTGCTAATGCTGGGAGAATGTATGTGCCAAGCTCAGACTAGGTGAAGTCTGACCTGTGAATCATATTGAGTTTTCTTAAAATACAACTTTTTATAGTTTGCCTCAATAATTTGCCAGGAAAATCACTATTTTTTCAAAGTTACCTTTCTATTTAATGTAATTTTTGATGACTATGCATCAAATTCTGGCTTATAGATTTACATTGTGAATGCACTGAAATTGTTGTTGGATTTTACACTATAACACACATGTTTGGTGCAGCATTTCCCTTTCCAGTCTGGACTACATAGACCTATTGTCATATTAAGCCTGCTATTGCTCATTAGCATATGACCATTTGCACCAATAGATGCACTTAATTATCATGATGGTATAGCTTTCATGCTGGTCATGGTTATTAGCTCAATGTGTTAAAAGTGATTTAAAATACTTCACAGTATTGTTTATATGAAGTCTTCCATATTGCTTAACCATATGATAATAGAACTGGCTCTTGCAAGCTTTTTTAGTATGGAGCATGGCTACCCAGAAACATGCTGCCTTTGCCTTTAGACTGAGCATTGTAATGGTGCTCTGGGTTGTGAAATGAACACTAAATAACCAAGCATCTTATTAACTGTTTATAAATTCTGGAAATTAGTATCCAATTCTTCCCATAAAGTAGTCAACAAAATGGAAATTCCTCACCTTGGAAACAAGTAGACAATGGCAACATGCCCATATTGCTAGGGTAAGCTATGTTCACATTATATTGCCTCATAGTATAGTACAAAATATTTGTCTCTACTATAGTATGCAGTAAGTACTTTGAATATAGAGGAGGTGTGAAATGTTATGTTATCCTACTCTAACTGGAGATGCCTGTTTGTTGAGCAGTGATGTATTTGTTTTTGATGGAACTCATATCAGTTCCTTCTGTTTTTACTGAGAACTGTGTAAAAGAATGTTTGTAAAAGAAACCAATGGCCTTTTTTGGTTTGTCTTGAAAGTATATCCTGGCTTGCCAAATCATGTTTTTTAAGTTGCCCTGTAAAATACTTTATTGTTATCACCAGAATAATTCCTTGTATGATATATTGCTAATCTGCTCACAATACATTGAAGTTTATGGAAAATTGAACACAGTGCTGGAATTCTGGTGGCTGTCTTTTGCTACTTCCTTCAATTGTGATGCATGATTGAGGTGCATATATGATAACAGTGCATATATGACAAGCCCTTCAGTACTCCAGGGATATGTTTTGGTGCTAAAATGGTCAGAATGAGAAGAGTATGTCACTGCCATATGATGCATTTTTCTTGATATTTTGGCTGCCCATTATAAGTATTTCTAGAGGACCGAATATGAGTCATTGTGTATGCATGTATGTATGTATGTATTATGTTAAGGAATTGCTTCACTTAAGAAGCACAAATGTCATGCTGTTGGCAATTGTTTTGTGCTAAGGCCTCATACCCTGGCAGGTGCTGAGTTGGCAATGTCTGGTGAGCCGCCACTGCGGTATGGCGCTGCTATCAGCTGGCCTCCAGTACTGCCCATGGAGGAGGAGGATGACGACAGTGTGGACCTGCCATCCACTGTTGATGTCAAGGCCATCAGGGTATGTGTTGCTCTTAAACCAGCTGGGGCTGTTGGTAATTGTTTGATCCATTTGATTAGGTCAATAATGCTAGTTATTGGTCATTGTGTTAATTATTTTTTTTTTGCTGTTGTCATGGTGTCTTGAAGTCTATTGATTGTCATTGCTTAGCTGTTCAGTCACCTGGCATTTTGCCATTCAGAATGCCAGAATCATATGGTAATGACATCTGTGTTGTGTGGATTGAGTTGTGGGGTGTTGATGGGCAGTGATCATTTCAGGACTCACCAGTGCCGGGAGACGCGCCGCCGCTGCCGCCGCCGCCGCCGCCGCCAACCGAGCCGGACGGCTCCGACTCCGGCTCGGGCTCAGCCGGCTCTTCTGACGGCGACCAGTCGGACATCGACTCGGACAGTTCGTCGTCGGGCTCGGGCGGCCAAGACTCGGACTCGGAGAGCTGCGGCTGGTCGGACGTGGCCGACAGTCTGGCCGACGAGCAGCCGGGTCACGTGCGCCCGGCGGCGGCCGCCGCGCCGGCCGCTGGCGCGCACCGCGGCACCGGGCCGGGTCCGCCGCAGCCGGCCGCCGCCCCCTCTCCCCACAGACTCCGGGCCGCCGACCAGCACGTGGTGCCGACGAGGCACGCGGCACCGCCGGCCGCCGCCGCCTCCCCCCATAAGGCTCGGGCGCCAGAGCCGCAGCACGTGGCCCAGTCAAGGCACGTGGCCAACGCGGCCGCAGCGCCGTCGCCGCACAAGGGACGTGCGTTGGAGTCGCAGCATGTGGCCCAAGACAGGCTCCATGCGCCCTCGGCTCCTGCGACCCCCTCCCCCCACAAGGTCAGAGAGCATGACCTGGCTCACCGGACCCCCGGACGTCACGTCGCCTCTCCGGACGTCACGGCCTCCCCACACAAGGCCAGGGCTCCGAACCAGGGCCACAGCAAACACTTGGAGTTTTCTGTCGCCGCGCCTGTCCCACACAAAACCAGGAGCGCGGAGGGACAACATTCGTCGCATGCCAGGCTTGTGTCGCCGACGGCAGGCACGCCCTCCCTGCATCACGTGATTCGAAGTCAAGAGGTGCCACACGCTGCCCAGGCCAAGCACACCGCGCCGCCTACCGCCATGACCTCTCCTCACAAGAGCAGAGGGCAGGAGGCGCATCACCCGGCTGCAGGCAGACATGCGGACGCGTCCGCCGCCGCCGCCGCCGCCGTGCCGCACAAGGCCAGAGGTCACGAGCGGCACCAGCAGGCGGCGAGAAGGCCCGAGCCTGTGTCCGCGGCGGCTGACAAGCCGTCCCACAGAGCTCGCGGTCACGAGTCGCGCCACTCGCAGGGCAGGCACGCGGCCGCCGCGGCCGCCGGTGGCGGCGCGCACGGCGTCCGGGAGCTGCAGCAGCAGGCGGCGGCGCCGAGGGGCCGGCGGGCCTCCGGCACCCCTGCCCTGCAGGCTAAGGCCAGGGCCCAGGAGCCGCCGCCGCAGCCGCTGGTCCCCGACAGACTGACGCCCGTCACCACTGCCTCGGTGCCTGCCGGGGTAAGAGCGTGGCCGACCGGGCTCAGCATGTGCTGTTCACAATGTGTGCTGATGTTCAGACAGGTGGAAAACGCGATGCTTGCCAAATCGTGACAGTTTGTCGTTCAGGCGCTTTGAATTCCACAATTTGTTTTTTTTTTCTCACATGTCATCGTTGTTTACTTACTTTGTTTCTATTGGTATTGGCCCAGTCATTAAATTGATGATTAACTCCTAGTTTCTTTCGCTGCTATGTTAGGTTATGTTTCTTTCACTGCTATGCTGCTGCTATGCCTCACCTAGCTAGTGTGGCTGGTTGCCTGTTTTATGTCTCGCCTGCCATTTTCGTGGCGTTCGTCGTGTGTGTGCGGCAGTCATATCTGACCGTCGCGTACCGTGCCGCAGACACCGTCCAGCCCGCGGCCGCCACCGGTGCTGGCGGTGCCGGCGCCTCAGCCACTCTCTGGCTCTGACGACTCCGAGTTCGAGGTGGCCGTGCTGGGTGGCGTGCGGGCCGCGCTCAAGTCGCTGGAGGAGGACGCCGAGGTGGCCGAGCGCGTCACCACGCCTGAGAAGCAGACCTGGTGGAAGAACAAGCTGAAGCAGTCGGCGCAGAGCCGCGGCGAGTCGGGCCAGAGTCTGGTGCGGCCCTGGGAGAGCCGGACGGCCGGCACGCCGCTAGGTGCCGCCGGAGCGCGCCGGCCGCCGCCGGACGCGCCGCCGCCGCCGCGCACCTCGCCCTCGACCGGCCGCAACGGGCTGCGACTGAGCGTGCGCGTGGACGAAAAGGCGGCGAGCCCGCCGCGCCGTGCGCCGCCCGCCGACAGCGACAGCTCGGACGGTGAGCTGGCGGCGGGTCCGGCGGCGGCGGCTGGCCGGCCCACCGCCGCCGCCGCGTCCGCCTCACCAGCCAGCTCAGGCGGCCGCAGTCCGTACGTAAAGATCGGCAACCGGCTGTCGCCCCGCTCGCCCCGCTGCGCGCTGCCATCACCGGGCGAGAGCCACACGCGGAAGCCGTCCCTGTCTGAGATCCTCAACTTGGAAAACAAGAACTCGCACCTGCGTGCCGCGCGCCAGCCGCTGGAGACCGACTACGACGGCGCGCCTAAGCTGCCGCACGAGCTGCGCACCGCCGCTGACGAGCCGGTCGGGCGCGTCGCTGAGCCGGCGGCCGTCGACGTGCGGCCGCTGGACGGACGGCCACGCGGCCGCGTCAAGCCGTCGGAGGTGGCGCCGCCGCCGCGCGCTGCCGTTGTCGAGGCGGCGCCGCGGCTCCGCAAGGCTGCGGCAGCTGCCGAGCCGCGACCGGCGGAACGGGACCGCGGCGGCGACGCCGAGCCGCGCGCTCGAGAGGCGGGCCGGCCGCGCGAGACCGGGCCGCGGCTGCGAGCCACGCCGGTGCCGCGCTCGCCGGCGTCGGACGCCAGCGAGCCGGTGCTCGAGCCGCGCGGCCGAACTACAGTGCTTTCGAAGTCGCCGACGGGCGGCGACAGTGCACCGGAGACGGCTCCGGCCGAGCGGCGGCGCGGTGCCAGCGCGGCCCGCTCGCCCGGCCGCGGCCAGTCATCGCCGGTGGAGGGCCGCCGCCGGGCGCTCGGCCCGGCCCGGCCGCCGGTCGAGCCGCGGCCGGAGCCGGCGGCGCGCGGCACGCCGCGCTCCCGGCCGGCTGGCGCCCGACGGGACGGCCCGGCCGAGCCGGAGGCCGGCGGCGAGCCGGCGCCGGCGCCATTGCCACTCCGCGCGCGACAGGAGGAGGCTAACCGCGGCCAGGCGCTTCTCATCACGAGACGCCGCAGGATGCAGATGCGCAAGCTCAAGCGCAAGCACAAGAACATCGTGGACCCGGTGCTTCTGGCCGACGTGGAGGAGCTGGTGCAGCGGCTGCACAGTCTAGTCATTCCGCGTGGCCCCGGCCGGCCCGGCCCGCCGCTGGAGAACCGGGTGCCAACTATCTTTCAGACGAGAAAGTACACCAAGAAGCGGAAACAGCTCCTCGAGAAGGCCAAGGCGGAGAAAGAGAGCGACGATAAAGCGAAGAGGAAGGCGAAGAAAGATGTCAACACCCCTCAGGTGAGCTGCCTTATAAAAACGCAATGAAAGACTCGCGTGTTTGTTGGTAAATGTGCGCGTTTTGACCGCGATAAAATGATTATATATATATATATATATATATATATATATATATATATATATATATATATGTGTTTGTGTGTATGTATGTATGTATGTATATATATATATATATATATATATATATATATATATATATATATACATATATATATATATATATATATATATGTGGGTGTATGTATGTATGTATGTATATATATATATGTATATATATATATATATATATATATATATATATATATATATATATATATATGTATATATATATGCACCGTCAACTATTTTGAACAGGTCAAAAATTTTTGTCTCCTCATACAGTGCTGCTTACCGACGCTCGCCGCTTCAATCATTTTACGATATGCAAGACAAACACTGTGGTGGTGCCTGTCTGTCGAAGTCGTGGTGGCTCACATAATTGTTTGCGATAACAAAGCTATTTGTACTACCTTCACGCCACTCGTAAAATGTTGGTCAGGAGAGGTCCCCTACTGAACCCCGCCTAGCCAAGGGCCGCACGATAACACCCATATCACGTATCTCATAGAAGAAATATACGCAGCAGCCTCCCTTATCCGGTATTCTGTTAGACGCTTTGTACGGCGGTGAATAGGCGGGGCAGTTTTGTGAGAGGCGTCGGTCACTTTGGTGCTAATGATGCATCATCTCACGAATGATATTCTGTGAGAGGTGTCAGTTGCTGTGGTGCTGGTGATGCATCATCTCACGAATGATGTTTTGTGTGAAGTGTCGGTTGCTATGGTGCTAATGATACATCATCTCACCGACGATGTTTTGTGGGAGGTGTCGGTTGCTATGCTCCGAATGATGCTGCCTAACGGCCGGAGCCGGACACCTGCGCGAACCAGGCAAATTGGGTACGATGCGTTGAGAACTCGTAGTTCCTTCAGGGTGGGCGGCAAAAAGGTCACCGATCAACCATCATGTGCACGCTAGTCGCCGGTCGCATGTAAATATTGACTGATAGTGGTCCGGACATGGCTGACAATGCCAGTCGACAACATCGATGAATTTTTAATGGTATACGCTTCCAGTAGCCGTGATCTAAGCATTGTGGAAAGAAAAGCATTGAAAGCATTGTTGAATCTAAGCGTGTTGAATGTGTGTTGGTAACGGTGAACCAGCCTACCGCTACCATGCCCGTGCAGTTGCCGGGGTCCCTCGCTGGAGTCTATTTACAACTGGTCTTGATTGCGGCTGCTTTCGAAAGAAGAGACCTCGGTAGTTTCCTGCTCGACTACCGTCGTGTCTGTGTGGAGGACAGTTCTGACACCAGGGCAGTCTGTGTATGTTGTGTCAACCTATGCAGTGTAATTTTTTCGCGTGTTTTTTTCTGATTCAGTTGCTGAGGTATTATTTTAAGTTTTACCAAATCGCCAAAATGTGCGGATCCCTTCTTTGCGCTTGAGTACGCATAGCCAGGCCCACGCATGAAAATGCATTCTTGCAAGTACGATTGTGTTCTCTCCCAGCCGCCATGGGCGCCGAATGACCACCGCAGTCGGCGCGCCCCAGACTCCTATAAACAGCAACAGATCCCCCAGCCGTCTGCCGGTGTTGATTTCGTGGTGTTGCGACACTGGATGGTCGACACCTGAGGCCAGTTTCCAGTGGCGTTTTGTTTTGATAACTTTTTAGCGGTGTGGGAAGTCTATGCTACGTTCACTTCCCAATGGAGCAGGCAAGTCACTCATGACCAAACGGCTTGCATGCAGATGTCTGATAGGCTGCGCAGTACGACGTAGACGGTTGCGTTTCTTCTGCTGGAGTGACGCGAGGTTGCGGTTGTTTTAAATATATTTAGTTCTAGAAAACGTAACGGCTGAACTGCTCCACTCAAGTCGCGACACACCCAAAAGCTGCACACCATCATGTCTGCTCAGGTTGATACTTGTGCTCCTGTGAGACTCCCTCGACCCCGGTCCAAGTATTCTCTGTCTTGCTGGACCTGTATGTGGTGTATTCGTGTATCCCATGTTTTTTCTTCACTCTCATGTGTTGTGCGTTTGTCCTTACGGTGATAGATTTTATTTGCATTGCATTTCAGGAGGACGAGGCGAAAGAGCAGTGCCTGCCACTGAAGAAGCGGTACCACCACATCAGCCAAACGATAACCGACTCGGCCAGTGCCGCTCCAGAGAAGCCCCTGGAAAAGCCGCTCGTCGCCAAAGCTGCTGAAAAACCGCAAGTTCCCAAAGCGGCGGAAGTCCCTGCTCCCAAAGCGGAAAAGGTTCCGTTGAAAGCGGCGGATAAAGTTCAAACCCCGAAATCCTCTGAAAAGTCGTCACCGGCCAGAGGCGTGGACAAGGCTCAGCCTGCCAAGGCTGCCGACAATAAATCTGTGATCTCGAAATCGTCGGAGAAATCTCAAGCTGTTAAGGTGTCTGACAAGCCAGTTAGCTCGAAGTCATCGAGTAGGCCAACCTCTGCCAAATCGGAGACTTCTGCGATTCAAAAGCCAGCCGCTGCAGCGGGTCACAAGACGGCTGGGGCTGCGAGTCACAAACCGTCTGCGGCTGCAAATCACAAACCGTCGGCCGTGGCGAGCCAAAAGCCGTCTGCCGCAGCGAGTCAGAAGCCATCTCCTGCGGTGGGTCAAAAGCCATCTGGTGCATCGAGCCAAAAGGCCTCTGCCGCTGTCAGTCAAAAACCGACGGCGGCGTCAGGTCAGAAGCCGGCTGCTGCGGCGAGTCAGAGGTCGTCCTCTGCGGCGGGTCGCAAGCCGTGTGCAGCAGTGAGTCAGAAGGCGTCCGCCACGGCGAGTCAAAAGACGCCGGTGACTGCCAGCGAGCCTCCGGCCGCCGCCAAGACCGCGCGGGCTCCCGAGAAGCCGCGCGGCCGCGCTCGCGCAGCAGCGGACGCGGACGCGACGCCACCGCCCGCCAAGTCGAGGTCAGGACCTGAGGGCGGCGCGGCGGCGCGGTCGGCCTCGGCACGGCGCCGCGGGCGAGCGCAGAAGCCGGCCGCGGACGCCGAGCCGGAGCCGCGCCGGTCGCGGTCGGCGCAGGCGGACGGCCAGGAGCCGCCGCCTGCTGGCGCCGAGCCGCCGCCGGCGCGGCCGCGCACCGCGGCAGCGCCGGCCGCGGCGCCGGCGGCCGTGCCGGACGCGCTGCCGGCCGGCGACGCCGACCTCGGCCCCGCGGAGGCCGACGCCGGCAGTCAGGCGGGGCAGTCCGTCCGGTCGCCGCCCGACGCCGCCTCGCTCGTCGTCAAACGCAAGCGCCGCAAGATCAATCGCACCGGCTTCCCCAACAAGAAGCGCAAGATCCGGCTCAAGTCAACGCCGTCCACGCCGGAGTCGGCCGCCGCCACCCCGGAGACGCCTGCCGACACCCCCGAGACGCCGACGGCCGTGCCCAATACGCCGGCGGCTACCCCGGAGAGGGCGGCGGCGGACGAGCAGGAGGCGCCGCCGCCTGCGCCGCCGCCCGCGCCGTCCGCCGAGGACGCCGAGCCCGGGCCGGAGCCGGCGGCGCGCGGCAATCATCTGTCGCTGCGCGCGATGCGGCGGCCGCGACGGCAGACGACGGCACCGGCGCCGATGCCGGCGCCGTCGTCGGCACAGCTGCACCAGACGCCGGTGGTGCGGCTGGACAAGATGCGGGAGCCGTCAGGTCGGAAGGCGGGCGCCCGGCCGGCCCATCGCAGCCAGCGGCAGCCTGTTGCCGCTGTGGCGCCCCCCGCCCACGCCACTGCTGCCGCCACCGCCTCCGCCTCTGCCCCCGCCCCCACCGCGGCCGCCGCGGCCCCCACCCCCGCCGCCGCGGCCGCTACCCCGGCCGCCACGGCCACCACCCCAGCCGCCGCCGCCACCGCCGCCGGCAGTGGGTCGGTACCGGGCCGGTCTGCAGACAGAAAGCGCAAGAAAGAGGCGGTTTCCGGTCCCAACAAACGGGCCAGAATGGAGAAGCCCGACCTGGCCTTGCACGAGGACGACATCTACTTCGAGAGGTGAGGACACCGTTTCGCATTCGCACTTGTCCTGCGCACCTTGTTAGTGCGTGAACTGTGAAGGACATGCGCCCATGAATAGCTCAAAGATGATTGCCGTGTACATTGACACGCCGTTGCGCGGTGGCCTTCCCTGGCCGGATGGCTTCGCCTCGCGTAGCGCGGTCCTCGCCGTCGTGTTGCGTCGTCTGGCCTCGGCCAAGCGTGCCAGCAGCTGTCCGTCGGTGCCGCAGCGACCTGCCCATCTCGGAGTCGGGTCCGTCGAGCGAGGTGCCCTCGGGTGACGAGCTGCACCGGCCGGCCGCCGCCTCCAGCAAACACAAGCTGGCCGCGCCCCGCTGGAAGAAGAAGAAGTACCTCACGGCCGGCCTCTTCTCCGACTTCTACAAAGTGGAAAGGTGCGGTCGCTCGCCGGCTGGTGTGGAGGCTCCGAGACGCCGTGACTAGCCGCCTCAGCTGAGGAATTTACCACGCGATAATGGTCTGCTTTTGTCTCCTGCTCTCTGTGTTGTCTTCTGTCCGCTTCCTTCGTCAGAGTGCTGACCGACTTGGCCCTGCATAAGGTGTTTTTTGGATGCGTGGCAGCCTGTGACATATGTCATCAAAAACCCTATCCTTTCGCGAAACATCACACCTATGATAATAGTCTGTCATTGCGAGTCAACGTATTTGTCCAGCCACTGGGCTTGCCTGGATGTTTTGTTTTTGCTAGCTGCGGTACCGTGCTCATAATTGAATGTATACCGTACACTTTGTTGGCCCTCAGATGCTCTGGTCTTTTGGAGCAGCATGATCTCAGTTGTGTCGTGGTGCTCCGGCGCCCATCAGTTTCGGCCGACGTATGATCTCCGCTGTGACCACCCCCGCTCAATAGTCGGGCATCATCGTTCAATCTCGTGCTGAGCACTGACCCCAGTCACGCGACCCGGCCGTCCCGTGTTTGCGCTGTGATGGTATCCTGTTGCGCTAGCCTAGCGTGTTGTCCCCGGCCGTGTGACCCGACCGTGCCGGGCGCCCGGCCGTGACCGTGTCGCGCGACCTCGCGGCCAGTGAGTCGGAGCGGCCGGAGCTGAACAAGTCGCGCCTCTTCTACGAGCCGTCCGAGCACCCACACGGCCTCCTGCCGCCGCCCTGCTACGAAGAGAAGTGGCTGCGCCAGCGGCTGCGCGACTTCACGCTGCCCTACGACCTCTGGTGGCTGCAGGCCAACGCCCAGCTGCCCGGCCGCGACACGGTCGCCTCCTGGAACTACAAGAAGCTGCGCACCAGTGAGTGAGCGGCGGCGCACGGTGCAGGCGCGGCTGCAGGGCCGGCGGAAGCTGTGCCGGCAGACCTCGCCGTGATGATATTCGGGCATTTCAGGCATGGAGGGCAGTTCCGCGCACTGTCGCAGGGATGATGGTGATGTTACGTCCGATGTACAGTTTTTGGTGCGTTAATATGGTGTCAGTGATCGCACAGAGCTCACGACAGAACCGTACTTGCTTATGTTTCTGCTAAGTCACTTGCCTTGCGATCGCCCAGGCGGTGCCATGGCTTGCCGTGCCCGCTCGTCTGGTGCTGGTCTCCGGCGACGGTGGGTCGTCTTACGGTACCTCGCCTGTCTGCCGGGTCTCGTCTTCCCATGCCAGCGGCCGGCGAGCCCCGTGTACACAACTCTCCGTCAGGTCCACCTCTGTGGCCGTGTCTGACGCCACCTGGCGGCGCCCCGCAGACTACTACTTCGACGTGAAACCGCCGCCGTACCGCGAGGCGGAGACGTGCTCATGCCGGCCGCCAGTCGACCCGCAGCGGCCCGGCTGCGGCGACGACTGCATCAACCGCGTCATGTTCGTCGAGTGCAGCAGCTCGTCGTGCCCGTGCGGCGACCGCTGCGACAACCAGAGGATCCAGCGCCACCGCTGGACGCCCGGGCTCGTCAAGTTCATGACCGGGGAGAAGGTACGTTGATGCCGGTCCGGGCCCGCTGCACGGCTGATGCGGACGTGTGTGGCCGCTCCGCGAGGCGCTGGGGTGCGTGAGCTAATGGCGGCGGCAATTGATTTTCGTGCTTGTTATGGTTCGATTGATGTGCTGACCTTGTGAAAGGGCCGATCGTGTGCTGAACTAACTGGGTATCGGTCTTCGCATACGGCGACCCGAGCAGGGGCTGTGGGCTCGACCGGCCTGGGCCTGCCCGGGGTGGCGCCCACACAGCACTAAGGCCCGGTGACCGTTCAAATGCTCCGATGGGGGTCGCCTCCGGACGGGACGACGCCAATCCCGACGCTGGGGCTTCGTGACGCGGCCTGACCGATCTTGCCGCTGCTCTTGCCACAGGGCTGGGGCATCATGACCAAGCGGCCGATCCGAGCCGGCACCTTCATCCTCGAGTACGTGGGCGAGATCGTCAGCGAGAAGGAGTTCAAGCGGCGCATGCAGACGCGCTACATCAACGACCAGCACCACTACTGCCTGAACCTGGACCGTGGCATGGTCATCGACGGCCACCGCATGGGCAGCATCGGTACAGTCCCGCGCCACGCCCGGACCGCCGGCACCGCCGCGTCTCGGTTCTCCCCAGCCGCCCCGACCGGCTGCTTTAGGCTCTGGTTCCCGGAGCGGAATGTGCGATCGCCGTGCCAGCCTTGCGTGGGTCCAGCCCGTTTTGACCGTATGCGTGGACGATCAGAGTGCTAGGAATGTACTGTTGCGCCCTCCTATCGTCGTGAATGCCACGCGTGTGCAGGTTAGCGTGTCAGCGCGCACTATATGGGATTAAGTCTCGGTCGCGCTCGCAGCCGGAGTTCCCAAACTGGTGTGCCGGCCGCCAGGTCGGTTCGTGAACCACTCGTGCTCGCCCAACTGCGAGATGCAGAAGTGGGAGATGAACGGCCTGCACCGGATGGCGCTCTTCTCCCAGACTGACATCGCGGCCGGCACCGAGCTCACCTACGACTACAACTTCTCCCTCTTCAATCCGGCCGTGGGCCAGGTCAGCTTGACGGCCGCGGCACGGGGCGGCGTGTGGGCCGGCGCGCGCTGCCGTGGTCCCACTGATAGGTGTCGGCGGTGGTGGTTTGTGCCCAGTGTGAGATGTGGATGTGCATGAGCTATGACAACGGCATAGATGCTCAGCGTGCTGGCTGGTACCGGGCCGTGTCAGCAGCGTCACAACATGCATATGTAGCACAAGTGGTGTTGGAAAGGCGATCTCTGTGTAGCACTGGGCCACGCCTAACCGCTGTCGTTGCTAACCATCGGTGCTGCAGTCGGCGTCCATGTCAGGTGGGGGGCCTGTGTCTGGCTGTGACCGCCGCCGCCCGACCTGCAGAAGTGCCACTGCGGCTCGCCGGACTGCCGTGGCGTGATTGGCGGCCGTTCTCAACGCGTCGGCCCGCCGCCGCCCAAGCCGCCACCGCCCGGGCGTGGGCGGGCGCGCGCCGCGGCCGCCGCCGCTGCCGGCGCGCCACCGGCGGCGGCGGCTCGGCCGGCCGCCAGCGAGCCGGGCGGCGGCGCGGCGCGCGAGGAGCGCCGTCTCTCGGTCAGCTCGGAGCAGCCCGAGTCGGTGTGCCGCGAGCCCCAGACGCTGCCCGTGCGTCCGCTCTCGGCGCGTGACGTCCGCTTCATCCGGCTGCACCGCTCCTTCCTCGTCCGCAACTACGAGAAGGTCAGTGACGGCGGTGCTGAGTGGGGCGCGGAGCCGAGGCTGCGAGCTGGCATGCGGACAGTGCGGGGGGAGGCAGGTGGTCGGTATATCATCCGTAGCGAGGACCTAGAGTGACCTAGGGTAGCCTGACAGTCTGCGTCTACGAGTGAAGAGTGAAACATTCCAAGGTGTGTGAGGCCCGGGGTGTCCTCTGTTGCGGTGCTTATCCTTCATCGTTGACTCCAGGAGGGATGTGCGGTCTCTCGCGCGCGCTCCGCTCCGCTGCGTGCCGCTTATTGTCGGCCGCGCCGCTGACCGGCCGCCGCTGCCGCGTCCGCAGATGCGTCGCCAGCGGGACCGGCTGCCGGACCAGGCGCGGGCCGAGTCGCCGCCGCCGGCGCCCGCGGCGGCCGCGGCCGGCGCTGCCGCCGCCGCCGCCGGCCCGCAGGGCGAGACGTTCCGTGCGCAGCTGCGCGCGCTCGACAGCTCGCGCTCGGTGCGCACCCGCCGCCTGGCGGCCGCCGAGGATGACCCGCTCAAAGTGCGCCAGCTCAGGCTGGCGCACATCCTCAAGGAGATCTACCAGGCGGTGGTGGCCTGCAACGGTGAGTGGCCATGCCGGCGGTGGGCCTCTGTCTGTCGGCTAGGCGAACAGTGTATACATAAGTTGGCAGTTACGACTCGCGTGTTTCGTGTCAAGCTTTTAATCGAGTGAAGACGTAAGCATCGGTTGTAGTCGTATGCTGTTTCATGTCATGTCAGTCATGATGCGACCCTCGGCTGGCGCATTGTGCTGGGGCTCGATGCGCCCTGCTGCAGCCTGGGCGTGTACAGTTCGCTTGCATTGGGCGGCCGTCACACGTGTATGATAGTTGTATTGCTGAATAATGTGGTCACGAAAGGTCGAGCCCTTATTTAGTGTGATTAATTAATTTTCGATGGAGGTGCGGCTTCCAAATCACATATAAGGCTATGCAAGAACAAAGCACAATAAATACTAAATGTGAGCAGTGCGATGACAACGGTTCATAGAAATCGAAGTAGTGCAGCAGTACAGTAAAAGGGCGCAATCAAATGGAGGGTGACCAGATCTTGCATGTGGGTTAAAGTTGCATCGCGTTCACTCTAAACACTGGTAAAATATCTTTGAGAGTCTTGAAAAACCAGTTACCACGACATGGGCTGTCGGAGTTGCCATTAGAGCGAAACAGAGCCGCCAAAACAGTAGTGAAATAACTGAACCTTTGCCAAACGGTAACAAACGGCGACTCGCCGCCGTTATGCTTCGCCGTATTGTCTAATCAGCTGCAGATACAGCCAGTGGTACCGGCCGGTGTCAGCCTGTGCGCCAGTAGAAGGCCCCCCCCCCCCGCCCCGCCCTGTCGGCGCCCCCCGGGTGTTGCGCTCGCCTTGGCTGTGCTGGGACAGCGCCGGGCGGGCGTCGGGACGCTTCCACCCGTTCTGACCGGCCGCCGCCGCCCCTGGCTCAGGCGACAAGCTCGACCCGAGCCCGATCGAGGCGCTGACGCTGCCGCGCAAGCCGAGCGTCGAGCCGGCCGACGCCGAGTCGGTCTCGCTGCTGCCGGAGCCGCTGGGCATCGCCGAGATCGAGCGGCGCATCGTCACCGGCCAGTACCGCTCGGCCGACGCGTTTGACCACGACTTCCGGCGGCTCTTCACCACGCAGCTGCGCGCGCACGGCCGCTGCTCGCCGGTGGGCGCGGCCGTGCTGCGGCTCAAGCACAAGTACGCCGAGTTCAAGACGGTCATGATGAGCCAGATCCAGGAGATCCTCGGCGTGACGCCGAGCAGCTTCCGGCCGCCGGCCAAGCGGCGCCAGGACAGCGGCCTCGGTTAGTGGCGCGCGTGCGTCGACCGCGCTCCGCCCCTTCGCGGGCGTGGCGGCCTTGTATCGGCCTCATAGGGGTATACAGCGGGTGTGTTGTCGCGGCGATAGGTGGGGTGTGGTACGGCGGTGTGCTACGCTTGCAAGTTTGGTGACAGTTGCGGCTCCTCTGTGAATGTGACACCAACCCCGAAGAGACGGTGTTTTGTGTAATGTGCAGCGCTCGCCGCACATCTCGGCACAAAGACCAGGAGCTGTCTTTCGTTGCCATCTTGACTCAGCAGATTGTATCGTTACTGCTGCTGCTGCTGCTGCCCGGAGGCCGGCCCGTCGCCATCTGTGTCGTGCCGGTACCCTGCTGACGTGTCGGGTCTGGCCGGCAGACGGCGAGGAGGACACGATCCGGTGCGTGTGTAACCTGCACCGCGAGGAGGGCCTCATGATCCAGTGTGAGCGCTGCCTCATCTGGCAGCACTGCGACTGTGTGGACGCCGACCCGGCCGTCGAGAGCTACGTCTGCGAGGTGAGTCGACGCTCGCGGGACGGCCGGGCACGCGATGGTCACCGTAGGCTGTTGTCAATTACCTCCAGTTTAAACTCGTTTGATATACATATTGATGGGGCCATGGTTCTCGTTTGCCTTGCTATGATGTGTCCGGGCTGGATTCTGGCATCCACCTCGGCTGCCCTGTTTTGTCTGTGTGTCCGGTCTAGACGTTGCCTGGTTAAGTCTGTGCCAGGCTCTGACACCAGCAGCTGGTGTGTAACGTCACCGCGCGCGATCCTCACGCCGGCCGCTGCTCTCCCGGCTGTCAAGTCCCGGCCGCCCGCCCCCTCACGTTCGGTGGCTCCGCGTCACTTCAGTCCTTCAGTCCTATGTGTGCCCCTTGGCCCCTCCCCCCTCTGACGCCCGGGGGTTCCGCACCACCTCAGTCCTGTGTGTGCCCCTAGCCCCCCCCCCCCCCCCCCTCTGACGCCCGGGGGTTCCGCACCACCTCAGTCCTGTGTGTGCCCCGCGCCTCCTGCTCTCTCACACCGGATCACATCGCCCGGCAGCTGTGCGAGCCGCGCGACCTCAGCCCGGAGGTGCGTCTGAAGCCGCAGCCGGAGGACGCCGAGCCTGGCCTGGTCTACTACCTGTCGCTGGTGCGGGACGACCTGCAGGTTCGCCAAGGTAAGCCACTCTACCCGGCCCCCGGCCCCCGGCCCCCGGCCCCCGGCCCCCGGCCCCCGGCCCCCGGCTCCCGACCCCCGACCCCCGACCCCCGGCTCCCGACCCTCGGCCCCCGGCCACCGGCCCCGGGCCCGGCCCCGGCCCCGGCCCCGGCCCCGGCCCCGGCCCCGGCCCTGGCCCTGGTCCGACCCCGGCCCCGGCCCCGACCCCGGCCCCGGCCCCGGCCCGGCCCCGGCCCCGGCCCCGGCCCCGGCCCCGGCCCCGGCCCCGGCCCCGGCCTCGGCCCTCGGCCCTCGGCCCCGGCCCCGGCCCTCGGCCCTCGGCCCTCGGCCCCCGGCCCCCGGCCCCGGCCCCCGGTCCCGCCCCCGCCCCCGGACTCCCGGCTCCGGCCGCCCTGGCTAGCGGTGATCCGGCCCTCAGCGAAGGTCACGTCCGCCGATCCAGTTTTAGGGGCGTGGCTGATAAGGCTTGGAGCGGCAGTATCTCGTGTAACGTCGAAGCCGCGGTGGTGCGAAGGTTGAAGGTCGTATTGTGCTGTTCATTGGCAAGACCCGTCCGGCTTGTAAGGAGACGGCACCGCTGGCGCTGCCACGCACGGGATTGCCGGGTTTAGGGGAGTGTTCCACATTTATATACTGTTTTGAACTGAAATAGGTATCTTGAAGACCTTTCGGTGCTGCTCACAATCCTACATTTCTTAAGACCGAAGCACGTTTGGTTTCTGAGCTAAACGCCCGCAAAAACGGGGAAAGGTAAATCGGTGATAGTATTTCAGTCACCCTGGCATTCATGACGTCATAATAACGTCATTCAAGTCCCACCGTTCCGTAAGCCATGCGGCGATCAAGGGCAGGAAACATATCATTGTCGAGGCGTTCATATCTGGCGTTAACGAGCGCGATTTCAAGATATATCGGTCGCCAATTGGCTCCTAGTCAATGTTGTGCAAGGCACGATGACGTAATCAAACCATGACGTATTGAGGAGCATGTGAGCTCAGCAGAGAATTGTGCTGTCCAGAGCGGTCTTTTGTACTTAGCTGTGTACCAATAGTTATACGCGAGCTTGCGTCATCATATCTGATGTTAACTTCAATATTTTTAGATGTCAGACATTTCCTTTAAGGACTGCTTGGCGCTGCTCGTGACGTGACGGTCAGACGTGACGTGACGTGACGTGACGTGACGTGACGTGACTGCGCAGTGCAAGACTTGGGCCTGACGCTCGCGTCCTCTCGGCAGGCGACTGCGTGTACATCATGCAGGGCAACATGGTGAAGGCGGCGCAGGAGGCGGGCATGGTGCCCTACAAGTACATCACGCGTCTAGTGCCGGAGGACCTGCTCATCTTCCGGGTGGAGAAGCTGTGGAAGGACGAGAGGTACACCTGGCCACTTTGCAGACCCGTGGCGGCTGCAGCGATAGTCGTGTGGATTTGCGTGCATGGGGTTTGAAATAGCGTATGTTCAAAGGGGAAGTTTATGCGTGTGTGGACCCGTGACGTATTTCGTTTGCCGAAAGGAATGAAAACCCAATATTTCAATTGCACATGGTTTTATTATGCCATGTGTGCCCTTCCGTTAGTGTTGGTTACGTTAGTTACGTCATGGAGTGACGTTACATTGTTGCGTCCGTTCGTGATGCTCTTGCGGGAGCGGTGCGTAGTGCTCCCTACCGAGGCTACGGACGCCAACATTTGACCTTGTAGTTACGGCGTCGTTCTGGGGTCTTAATCAAACGCGACGCGAGCCGTCGCACCTGTCACACATTGACCGCCCCCCCCCCCCCGTGCGCGAGCACAGCCCTGACCACCGGTCACCTTCCAGCGGCGCACGGTTCGCCTTCGGCTATCACTACTGCCGGCCTCAAGAGACATACCACGAGCCGACGCGCAAGTTCTACCCGAAGGAGGTGATGCGCTCGCCGCTGTACGAGGTGGTGCCGCTCGAGCTGGTGGTGGGTACCTGCTGGGTGCTGGACGCCAACACCTACTGCAAGGGCCGTCCGGTCGGCGCCCAGGAGCAGAGCGTCTACATCTGCGACTACCGGGTGGACAAGTCGGCCAGGTGAGCTGCGGCGGTGACGCCAGGCCCGTCAGAGATGGGTGGTGGGGTGCCGAGGCTCCACGCGCGTTTTCCAAATGCGGGGTGGCTCTTGCGCGGGTCTCCCGAACGGTGGGTTGCTCTTTTGCGCCATGATGTTGACCTCAGCACCAGTGGCGCCGGTGTCTTTTCACAGATCTTTTGGTTTCGGCGGCTGGTGTCGCTTTGCCTTAGCGGAGGTGTTGCGGTCGCTCTGGAGCGTGTGGCGAGCCGACCTTTGGTGACATTTTGTAACGGTCAAACGGGGCTCGCCGTAACTTCCGGTCCGTACCCGCAGGCTGTTTGCCAAGATCAACAAGAATCGACACCCGATCTGCACCAAAGCCTTCGCGTTCGACACGTTCGAGACGCGCCTGAAGATATCTAGGACGTTCACGGTGAGCGTCGCCCCTTCAGCATGGCGGCCATGCTGAAGTCGCGCCGTGCACAGTTGACCCTATGGCGTGCACACATTTGCCATGCAGGACAGAGTTGTGAGTAAGCCGTGGTTCTGCTGTTTATCATGACGTCACTGGCCAGCGAGTGACGTCCGTTTTGTCCGCAGCCGCACGCCGAGGAGGTGGCGAAGAAGATCAACACGGAGAAGGCCAAGGCAAAGAAAAGGGAGGAGGCGCAGGCGGTGCCCAAGCCGGCCAAGCCCAAAGCGGCCAGGGACGTGTCCAGGCACGCGGCGCTGCCGCCCAAGCCGGAGACGCCGGAGGAGAAGGTAAGCAGACGCGGCGGCGCGGGCGCGGCTGTCAGACTGCCGTCAGGCGCAGGCGGTGTAAGACAGGCACCGGCGCCGCGTGCTAGACGGGTGCGGCTTGGCGATATGGTCGTTTTTTTATTTTGCGTATTGTTCTGTATTTTGTGGCCAATCAATCAACTTCTCATTATTCTGGATGGGTTGTCATTGGTGGGATTTCCATCGTGCATGGCGGTGTAATCGCCGCGTGCGATGTGAACGTTAGAACACTGGCCTGACTCGCTTGGAGGAGTCGGCGCTCAGTGCCGATGTGTGACTGTCGGTGTGTGCTGCCGCAGCACGCGCGTCAGTACCGGCGCTTGGACGGTGTGCTGCTGCGCCTGCTGGCGCGTCTGCCCGGCCCGGCCGTCGACATCTCGCACCTGCTCGACTCGGGCAAGCGGCACCGGCGGCGGCCGGCGCGCGTCTGACCGCGGCTGCCGCGCGCCGCCTGCCCCTGCTGCGGCGACGCGTGACGCGGCCGGCCGTGCAGTCCAACTGCCGAGTCGGCCGCCAGGGGCGCTGACAGCCTGGTGACGTCAGCTGACTTGTTATCGCCCGTGAACCGCCGGCTTACAAAGCTCCGCGGTTGGTAGGTGCTCAGTGTAGCTCCGAGGAGTGTATTTATTGGTCTTAAGTCTAGATGACTAAGGAGGAGAGTGTTTTCAGGCTATAGACGGACTGGAGGATGTTTTTTCATACTAAGTGGCCACCTGGATTTTTTATCAGACTTTTTCTTGTTCCGATGTTCTGATGCTGCCAGTATCTTGTGAGGTTGTCATGATCTTGGCCTGTGGATGCTGGCTCTGCTGATTCGTTGTGTATGAAGTTTTGAATTAAGGATGCTTTTTTAGTCTGCTTATGATGTGAACAGCATAGACATGCTGTTTTCTATCACCTTACGCCGCATTTCCTTTGACGGGCTTGAAACATTTCACTGCGAAACTCAGTCAATGCTCCTCGATATGGTACAAAAAGCGTGGTATGTTGGTGTGCTGGCCCGGCGCGAGGCCCGCAGGGCTCTCAAATGGTGGGACTTCTATCACCAACTTTGCGCGCGAGTCGTTGGTGTTGAGGGCAGGACCAGAGGTCGACGATGGCCAACGGCCTGTCAGGACTGGGGGCTGAAGCCGCCCGCCGGCCCGGGAGGCGTGCCGCCTGGCGGCCAACCGTGATACGTCGGCGACTGACGGCGGTCGCCCCGTATGCTTGTACCTGTAGTCGCTGTTAGATTTTGCACTGTGCTTCATAGAGCTAGAGGTGCCGGAGTACGCGACCGTTATGCGGGAGGTGTGATGATGCTATTTATTCGGTGTAAATAGTTGTGTTACAAGCCTGGCGGTTTGTTTTACAAGCCCAGAGGGCTGATTTGTGATATGTCTTCCCCGTGTTGTACCTTTTGGCTCGTCATCGCTGTTCGCCTATGTGATTGAACTCATCACATCATTTCACCACAGTAATATACATCACCTAACAGCTACATCAGTTTGATCAATGAGTAATGCGAGCGGAGCGTGAGCTGATGCCCTTCGATGAAAATGCTGCAGGGTGATGAAACATACCTATTTTGAAGGTAGCAATGTTGCCTCCTGCCATCTCCCGTGGTCCCTTGAGTCACATAATCCTATCACTGACGTAACGAACACGGTTCAAAAGTGAGCCCCTGCCCCTGGCCCATTGCCCCAAGGCGGGCCCACGAGACCACATTGCGCCCCAGCCTCTGATTGGTCGGCGAGGTTGCACAACAGTGTGTCGGAAGCCCGTGGCGTTTCTGGCGCGGTCTAACGTCGAAAGGCAAACTGAGTGGGACGATTGTTTGGCACGCGGCTGGCGCCGCGCAGGTCGTATCGGCCCCTTCCTTTCGACATCTCTGTGCCATCCAAAATTGGTATTTATCAACTTGCTGTCCTTCACAGTCAGGACGCGGCAAGTTGTTACCCTCGGTGAATCTAGAAGGTCCCTTGAAGTTTCTGTGATAGCTGATTTAGTGATTTTCGGGGCGCGTAAGAGAGGTGCGATTTCTAGCACTCGGAACAAGTCGCTTGAAAACAGAAATCGGGGCTTCGACCGAGTCCTAGTCTCACCACTGACAAGTACTTTTGCTACCGTGTATCATACTCCTAAACCTCATTTCAAGGTGAGCTAATCTGTGATGGAGTTACATTCCCAGGTCATTTGTTTTGCTGTGGCCTATGGGTGTTGTGTTTACTATGTAGCTGATGCATCATACTGTTTGGAAAAGTATGATGGTCAAAAGAAACTGTTATGGGAAAAGCTAAGCTATGATAGGATAGAGTGATTGTTCTGACTGTAGTCCTGATCTGGTGTGTACCTGGTGTGTTGGTATTTTTAGAACTGTCCAGGTAACTCAGTTTGTTGTTGCTGGGCATTATCTAAGCCATAAACAAATTGTGATAGGAAAGATTGTTCATTAAGTGGGCTTGCTACCCCTGGCCAAAGGCAGGTCTTATTGGAATGGGCACAGCACAAGCTTGTGCAGTTTTTTAGATGTTTCACAATTGTATCTTGATATGAACTGGTTCACAAGTTTTTGGTGCTGTGGATCCAGGAGAGTCAACCTCCCCAAAATTGTAATTGCTCCATTTGCAGCTTTTACCAGAACCTATGTTTTCATCATTTTTGGTCTCCAGCTAATGGAGGTGTGCACTTCCAGTGCATATGGAATTTTAGCTTCTCTGTTTTTCTTTGGCTGTATTAAATTTGATGTTACAATAGTTTTACCCTGTAAAGAATTGTCAGTAAAGATTTAGTGGTTGCCTTGGTCTATTATGGAAGTTTGAGTAGCATGACTTATGATGATGCTGCAGTTGATGTCAACATTTGGCTGGAAAGTGATAGTCCAGCTAATTTTGTGGGTGCCTAGTGAGCTGTAAAATATTAGGTCATTGCTAATGTATGGTCCAGAAGTGTTGTTTCACTCAGTAACAGACAAACCAAATTGAAAACACTTTCAGCTGCTGGAATATCTATTGCATTTATTGTGAAATGGCAGGGTAAATGCATTAGCAAACCCAAACTAATGTTAAGTTGCAAGGCTAAGTATCACGTTAAAAGCATGCATTTCTTATTACATAAGGTGCTGTTATCAGGAAGCAGGCATGTTTTGTCATTAGGTAGGGAGGCAGAATGTATTGGGTTGGCAGCACATGCCATATAAGGGCCATGTCTTTGTTATAGTATAACATTTGTGTTATTTGGTTGGAATACAAATTTTAATCTTAATGTCCTTGTCAGCTACTGCAGTGTAATACATCTGGTGTACCTAAATGGATGTGTGTTTGTATGTTTTCAGATGGCAGTGGCATCGGTGTGGGGCTCTATCAAACAGGCAGAGACCAGTCTGCAGGATGTCATGTCAGAGCAGATGGCTGTAGATTTACAAAACAAGTATGTGTCTGGAACATACACATTAATTAATTTGACTGACAATGCAAGAAATGGTGCTAATTTGATGTGTTGGATTATCCCACGTTCGCTGTTTGGTTGAGTTACTTGGGACATGTGCTAGGATAAAAAACAACTGCTGATGGTTCACAGTTATAGTTACAGTTACATCTAGTTGTATTGCATAGACATGATTCATGGTGACATATGGATGTTTTTGTTGAATAAGAATACAAAATTCATCAACATAACTTACAGAAACTAAAAGCAATCTCAATGCCCCATACTCTGGTGCAAGGGACAGAGCCAGCTCCTATGCATGCCTGTCATTTCCAGTTGGTGCCATCCCACTGACCACTACCATCTGACCTTGCCAACCCATGCAGGGAAAATGCACTGGCTGGCTTGGCTGCAGTGCCAGCTGTCCACCCCAATCAGTGTGGAGTCAGTGGAGGTACTTCCTGAAGAGGATGTGAGCAGTGACCTGTTGCTGGCCCAGCTCATGCAGGACCAGCTGGACCGCGAGTGCGACGAGATGCTGCAGCGGGAGCAGAACAAGGTCAACGGTGACTCCAAGGGTCAGTGTGTGCGGTGGTCCCAGTGGCATTCCCTGAGATTGGTCTGGTGTGCCCTAGTGTGGTAGTCCATAAATATCACCTGTCCTGAAAAAGTAGGTTTTACCACCATTAGAAAAATGTGAGAATAACTGTTTGGGATATGCTGCCATCCATTGTTTAAAGCTGCAAGGTAGCATTCACTTGTCTCCCTGACAGTTTTGGTGTGTTTGAATGTGTGCTGACCTTATTCAGGTTCTATTGTGGTATGCTATGCTGTAATACACTATGTGTTCTGGCCTCTTCTTGTCGTATTATTGGGCGAGTTTTTAGATATGGGAGGACCACCAGCAAGGACGCCGTCACCATGTTATGGCATTCATATTCATCCACAATGTTGCGTGCCATGGTCGTCAAACTCGCCAGGATTAAAAAGGTGTTTGAAACTATGGATGGAATGAGGTGATCATGTATTTATGAGAGCCGCCAGTTGTTTCATGTCTCATACAGATACTAATAGAGATGGATGTTTTAGCATCCAATATTGATGTAAATCACTGTTTGAACATAAGCTTCTAGAAAGCATGCTGGCTTGTTTGGGTTTGTGTTGACAATGTTCTCAAAGTTCAAGTAAGGCATACTAGGCCAGCAGGCCTCTCTTGTAGTTTACGCGACATGTTCGGGCCCCACGCAACGTTCAAGCCCGACTAAGCGTCCGTGATTGGCGCTTGCAGTCAGCGTCAGCTACGAGATGTACCGCCTGCGCCACCCGTACCCGGTCCTGGAGTCGGAGGAGGAGGAGGAGGACTACGACGACGACGTGGACCGCACGTGCGAGTGGGACTCGTTCGAGGTGCGTGCCGCGTCGCCCCGGGTCGGACGGGAGCCACTGGCACGCGGGGAGCGGGCAACCAAGTAACGAAATCGTACCTTTTTGGGCAATGGGGTAATTGCCAAAGCTGTGACAATGCCCGGACGTGTGATTTTATCCATGAAATATTCGTTTCTGTGAGCTCCACTTCCTGTGAAATCCTTCCTGCTGCGGTTGTTCATAGATACTTATGTATGTTGTTGTTGCTGCCTGCTGTCTTGTGTTTGCTGTGGATCGGCAACTGTCGTTCTAGCTGCTAAAACCCAACAAACATTGACAGCTGATGTAGTGGATTCATCATGCCATTAAAAAAGCATCGTCCCTGTTCTCACGACCGCGCTCACCTCACCCAATCCTGAATTTTAAGCCCCGCGCATCGCAGGACGCCCATGCCTCGCCGCATACTTCCTTGCACGTAGTGCCCGGCCGCTGTGTGTCTGTGTGTGGTGTGTGTGTGGGGGGGGGGGGGGAGGGGGGAGGGAGGGCTACCGCCCTTGCCAGCGCCGACGCTGACGGCGTGCCCGGCTGCCACGCCGCAGACGCGCGAGCGCGACGCGCCGCACATCCCGCGCTGCGGCTACACCGTGCACAACGACCGCATGGTGACCAAGCACGACCGACATATCGCCGGCCGCAAGAACGCCTGCAAGGTCATGGACCTGCCGCCCAACATCTGCACCGGCGACGGCGGCAGCTTTGACATGGAGATCAACAACGGGGTGAGTGGCCTGGCCGCCCGGCCCGCGACGGCACTGCTCGGCGAAGTGTTGAAGTGAAGTTCTGTGAAGCTCGGCGAAGTGCTGTGGAGAAGCGAGCGGGGCTGTTTTTCTTATATAATTTGGGCGGGGGCCTGGCGGGTTTTGCCAGAGGAATTGCAAGTATTTGATTGGCTGTGTTCTCGGACTCTCCTGTCCGGGTCGCCGCAGCCGGCGGATTCCAGCGCATTTGAATGTGGCAGTGTTGTTCTGTGCTTAGATGGTGCACTGAGGTCATAGTTGGGACTTTGGCCGCATACATCGAAGCCGTTGCTGTGCTTTACGCGTGATACCATGATGCAGGGTTGAGTAAGAAGGAATGTAGTTGAACATCGTTGTTGGTATTGGAGGTAGACACTACATGGTTGTGGTAAATCCTTAAAATACTGGTATCTAGGATTTTTATGTATCATAGTGATCTGTCTAGAATGGCGTCATTTGTACGTTTGCGTCACACTCCTTAGTAACCAAGCACTTTCGTGGACCAAAGGAAAAATGCATAAATGCAGGTTAGCAGTGACATCCCACTTGTGTGATGAATTGTGGTGTGTCAATAGTTCGAAACCGCTCTGTTACATGATGGTTTGTAGGACTTTTGATCAATGCTGGCAAATGTTGCGCATCTTGCTGGATTTGTAGATAACGGTTGGAGAAGCGCTGCCAGATCCTGCGGGAGGAGAGGGTGCCATGCCTCTCCCCCCCCCCCCCTCCCCCCAAATGACGGGAACAAGCAGTTTTCTAGCTGCACTGTTGGGCGTTGGCTGACAAATTGATTCCCTGAAACAGGATGCTTGATATACCCCTGCACAAAGCGTTTAAGTTGCGAGTTACAATATTGTGGTGCAGTTAGATGTTTACAAAGCACGTCGACAATCCTACTATATATCCTTAGCCCAGAAGCTGACAATTTCATCGCTCCTTATGCATCGATTTTGCTCACCAACACTGCAATAACTAGTTTGTGGATGTCACAGCGTTTTTTTGCCATGCCACGGCCGTGTTGTGTGACTGTGCTCGCCGCTTCAGCGCTTGTTTGGCATGCTGCAGTTTATTGCGTGACTGTGCCCACCGCTCGCCAACCACCAGATGGCAGCCCTGTCGGTGCCGTCGGCTGCCGAGTGTTCCTTCTCGCCAGTCCGGCGTTGTTGGGTGGCACCGCCTGTCGGTCCACAGCCATTGATCTTGACCATTGTCCGTGCTGCGAGTAGTTGTAGGCGCCCGCAGTGCCACTCACCGGTGCCGCGGACGCCTTTGCTGATGCCACTGACACCCTCAGCCGGACGTGTCATTGAC